TTATACTCCAGCAAAATAATGTGTTTTTTTCTCATTATTCATTTATTCATACGTGCATACATTGTTTGGGCCATTTCTGCCCCTTTGCCCCCCGCCCCCGTCCCCTCCCTCTCCTCCGCACCCTCCTCGCTTCCAAGCAGAACCTGTTCTGTCCTTTTCTCCAATTTTGTTGAAGAAAAGACATGAGCAATAGTAAGACATAGTGGTTTTGCTAGTTGAGGTAAGGATAACTATACAGAGAGATTCCTAGCATTGCTTCCACGCACAAGTGTATTAAACCCGAACTGATTCATCTCTACCTGATCTCTTCACTACTTCCCAGTCACCTTCCCATACTGAACTCTGTCGTTTGAAGGTTACTGAATTAGCTCCTCTGCAGTGGGGACATCAAACACTTTCAAGTTTTGGGTTTCCTACCTATCCCCGTTCCTCCTGTATGTGCTCTCCCCTTAGCATGTGATCCAACTCCAACAACATTACTGCCTTTGCCCTAGATCTAAAGTCCGCATATGATGGAGAACATGATTTTTGGTCTTCCAAGCCTGGCTACCTCGCTAAAGATGATGTTCTCTAGTTCCATTTATTTACTTGGGATTGATAAGATTTCATTCTTCTTCATGACTGAGCAAAATTCCATTGTGTATAGATACCACATTTTCTTGATCCATTTGTCAGTAGTGGGGCATCTTGGCTGTTTCCATAACTTGGCTATTGTGAATAACGCTGTAATAAACAGGGTTGCGCAGATGCCTATAGAGTAACCTGAGTTGCATTCCTTTGGGTATATCCCCAGGAATGGGATTGCTGGATCATATGGCAGCTCTACGCTTAGTTTTTTAAGAAGCCTCTATGTTGTTTTCCAGAGTGGTGCACTAGCTTGCATTCCCACCAGCAGTGTATGAGGGTTCCTTTTTCCCCACATCCGCGCCAACACCTGTTGGTGGTGGTGTTTTTGATGATAGCTATTATAACAGGGGTGAGGTGGAATCTTAGTGTGGTTTTGATTTGCATTTCCTTTATGGCCAGAGATGGTGAGCATTTTTTCATGTGTTTTTGGCCATTTGAGTTTCTGCTTTTGAAAAAGTTCTGTTTAGTTCAATTGCTCATTTCTTTATTGGCTCATTAGCAAAAGTTTATACTCCAGAAAAATAATGTTTTAAAACTGTACATTCTCTATTATAGCAATTTCCTAATAACAGTTGGGATTTCTTCAAAATGCAAGCATTGTTCTCTTGGGGAATAACAAAAGTAAGAGTCTCCTGGTGTTCAGACATCATATTACCAGAATGTTTACTCTTTGCTTTCTAACAAATTCTTAACCATGAGCCATTTTAACTATTTCCCTTTGGTGGTTTTTTAACATGAATTTCCATCTCATGTCTCTTCTAAGCAACTTGAGGTCAGAAAACTAAGTATTATTTATTCTTCTTTATGTTCTCATAATACCTGTATAGTAAGGCAATCAACAGATGACTAAATGATGTGCCTTTATGAGCAATATCACTTTAAAGCTTAAAAATGGTAATTTCCATTCAATACAACTCAATGTACTTATAATTTCTACAACCTATAATTTGGTGAAATAAAATATTTTAAGACTGATAAATGCTAATAAATATATATCTTACATTGGTAGCCTATTACCAAATCTAATCAATAAAGACAAGGAGGGAAATTTTCCATATGAACCCAGTTACAACAAAATCTAAAGTACGAGTTTTTCTAATACTTGGCAATTATTTTTACTCATGTGATTTCTATGGCAATAATTGCCTAGAAGGGGGAATGCAAGTATGAAATATTTTCCCAGAAGCTTCTTTTTAGAAATATTAGAGGACACAGATAAACATAAGTTGAAACTCTACATAGAGGAAGTTTTTTCTAAAAAGTAGTAGGCACTAGGTTTCAGATATCCCATGGAAAGAGGATGAACAAAATGTATCAAGCAAAAGTCTATCAGCAAAACATCGAGCCACACACACCAACTAGTCAGGAAGCTATATGATAAGGCTGTATGCACTGCTCACTGTTGAAAGATCTCAACTTACATTCCTCAAAGCTGGTTTTATCTCTGCCTCTTGTAAGGGACATTATGAAAGAACCTTTCATTCCATGATTACAGTGCAGGAGGAAAGTCAGACGTGCTACTGAATGAACACATTTTTCACTTGGAGAAGCCAGTGAGAGCATACTGCTTCACAAGAAGTGATCTAAGGAAAAGATCATTTGCTAAAAAGTTCAGTAGTGAGTTATCTTACTGTACTGTTGCTTGCAAAAAGTTGCATAGGTATTGGAAAAATGGAAAATTCAACTTAAAGAAAAATTAAATGAGCTACTTAGAACAAAGGCAGCACTGTGACAAGTGAACACAGGCTAGGAAGGAAAGAATTGGGTTCTTGGCCCAGAACTGCCATGAACCAGCTTTTTGATCTTGGGCGAACCAGGAAATACACAGGGGCTTCAGTTTCCTCTTGTCGGAGGTAGCTGGAGAACATCATGTGTATGATCCTCCCAGCTCTAACAGTTTGAGAATATAGCACTGAAAACTCAGAACTACAAACAAGCACCAGTTCTTCTCTCCATACAGCAAGAAAAATCCCCAAACTGTAACCTCACTTTCTGTAACTGGACTACGAAAGAAACTTTCCCTATCTCTACACCCAAGCCATTTCGAATTATAATAATACTGTATTACTTTGACAAAAGTAAAGATGAGTGAAGAGAAGAATCAGGCTACATGTCAACATTTCAGAGTGTATGGACCAGCTCCCTCCATCCACTGAAAGTTAGTATTATTGAGAATGCAAAACCCAAGTTTCACATTCTCCACATAAACAGGATGGAATTCTATAAGCAAGTCACTTGGTTGCCTCCTTGTCTCTAGGTCTGATGTTGTCACATTCACCTAAGGGGCTGACTTAAATTATTAGTTTTGCCACCAGACAAAAGATCTACCTTTGCCAGGGCAAAGATGCCCTGGGAAGGGAGGGAGTAGCTTAGGTGTGGCCCAGCCATTCCAATATAAGTTACATTGTTCTATCATTTAAATTTTAATTCTTCAAAGTATTAAGTACATGGGAATATTTTTAATTTAAGCAAGGAGAATTCTGAGCTGGGCGTATTGGCATACTCAGGAGCCGGGGCACTTGGATCCAGAGTTCAAGGCCAGCCTGTGCTACAAAGTGAGATCCTGTCTCAAAAACAAATGAATTTTATTTTTACAAAGGAGTTAAGTTTTATGTTTTAAATTTTATGTTCAAAAGCAGAAATCTTGTAGTAATACAATTTCTGAGTGACTCTGGATTTTCATTGGCTAAATGCTCCTAAACCAGGGGCATATTTTTTTTAAAGTCAGAAAATCAAGAATAATGTTTTCCATAGCAAACAGTATTTCAATGTTATAACAGAGCCATCACACATACTTCCGATTCTTCATTCAGCAGCCATGTCTTCCCACACCTACAAATGTCAGGTTACCACATGAATAGTACATTGAAAGAATGATTGTACCTCATGAGAATGGACATTAATGTTTCTTTGAATTTTTTTTAATGGTCAGAATTCTACTTTTATTTAAGCAAAAAGCCACTAGAAGAATTCTTTGGTTTTATAAGAGGCTGTCCATTTGTTATTACAGCTTCTGTTTTTTAACAACATCGCTTCTATCTTACATTAATTCCCATTTTATCATGGTTATTCCATATAAACTAAATTCATTAAACCATAAACTTTCAGTAAAATGTGTCAAGATAAAATAATTTTCACAGGAAGCTTTCAAGTCTTTCTCAGTTACAGTAAAAGCAAAAATAGTGCCCCTCAGTTTGTTTCTAAACACTATCAAACAACTCAAAAAAAAAAAAAAAAAACCTACAGGCTTTAAGTTGTCCTTGAAAAGAGAAACTGAGAAGTCAAGGGATTTTAGCAGATGTTTACTTCATAGCAAGATGGTGAAAATCAGTGAGGTAATCATTAATCATAACTGGATTCCCAAGCAAAGATGTTGGCATTGGCACTACAGCTAGTCATCAGCAATGACTGCAAGTAACTCAAGGACACTAACGCCTGTTTGATTTGGAAGAGCATAAGGAACATAATGATGCCCAGAGTGCTGCTATTAGCCTTTGCCTGTCTCGTTTCTTAGGCCTTGCAACATCACAGGCCCAGCTGTTAACCAGATGTGAGCATGGGCCACAGAGTGTGAGAATAAAAATATTAGCATTATTTCCATGGAAACAGTCACGTGGTTATTATCGAAATAATCAGCATTAGCATACTACAATATTTGTTTTGTTCTTCAATGTTGTAATACCCTATGGAAAAAATTGGCTTTATTTCAAAAAAGGTTAAAAATGAAAGTACATGTTATATATCTTTGCTGGAAAACTGTGGGAAATGGATTTGTTGAAACCATATGGAGAGGAAGAGGGAATCAATTAAAAACAGAAATCTAATAAATCTAAAATATTTACAAATGAAATGGTTGTGGTAAGCTAATTTCTTGTAAACACTACACTCAAGACCCTTGAACAGTCCCAGATGGTAAACTAACTTTGTGGTCTTAAAATAAAAGTCAGCCAAAAACACAAAAGTGACTACAACTTTATTATCAAAGTACTGGGAAACATGAGATCTATAATCTACAAATATGTTACTTTATTATTCCTTTGAAAAATTTAAGAGATTTGTGGAGTTATACTAAATAGACAATTTCAGCAAAAATTTAAGTTTATGTATATTAGAGAAATAAAAATTTAAATAATATTGCAGTTAAAATGAGGTGAAATCTATAGTCACTTAAATAAAATATTCATTAAAATGCCATAGTTTTGAAATGTATTGCAAGGTCTAATATCTTAAAATATATCTTTTTTTTTTCAGTTGAGATATGTGAAATTTTATTCAAGAAAACCTCAAAACTTTTTAAGTTGAGCTACAAATAAAAGCTTATGATTTATGCCTTAATCAACACTTATGCCTGGTGGAATAAACTTCTACCTTACCTGCTCCACTGTTAATAATCCATCAGAAGATTCTGGCACAGACCGCACAGGTAGAAGCTGGCACAGAGTGCCTAAAAGTAAAGCCACTTCCTTCATACTTCTCCAACAACATACTAGCACCATCTGAGCAGTTACATCACATGTTTTTCCCTCTTTACCTTAAAAAAAAAAAAAAAAAGAAAGAAAACTATTGCAACATAAGACACTCGATTACTCACATCCCAGGGTTCTTACAACAAGCTTATTCATAATTTTCCTGCAAATAATCTGCTTGAACAAACCAATTTGTCATGTGTTCTATTTAGTCAAGAGAAAACATTTGTAAAGCATGTGCTATAAGGGGGAAATCATGCTACTTTTTTAATTTGCTATTTTCAAAATAAATTTTAAAATATAACACTGCTTCAAAACTAAGTTTAACCTTTGGAAATTAATGAAATGAACTCTCTCTGCCTCTCTGTCATCCATAAAGTACTACAAGGTTGACGACAGTAAATGTACTTAATTATTTCAGGCAAGGAGGACTTTATATTAATTAAGGAGAAGAACAGAGCTTTTTCTTTTTTTGTTTTGGGGGGTTTGTTTTGTTTTGTTTTGTTTCTGAGACAGGGTCTCACATGTAACCCAGGCTGGACTCAAATTCACAACCCTCCTCCCCAGTCTCCTGAGTGCTGGGATTATAGAATGTGCCACCACACCCAGCTAGAACAGAATGTTTTAAATCAAAAGAAAATACAAATTTTCTCTCAAAATATATTTAAATCACATGGCCATTAAGCTACAATTACCCTTATTTATTTCCCTATTCTAGTTTTAGGAATATTTTAGTAGCAGCAAAAAAAATCCAAAGCAAACTATTAAATTAAAAAGGAAAGTTAACAAAATAATAGTTATACTGTAATCCCATTTTTTTTAAATGCCACTAAAAGGATAAATTACATACACAAAAATACACACCATCGGTATAAAAGGTATACACTAAAGAGGAAAGTGAGACTGGTGAAGAAATGGAAAACAACTTTAATCTACAATTTTTTGCCCATCCCTCTTTGCTTTTTCTTGAATATTTATCATTATGTTCTTCAAAACTGTTACAATAAGTATTAATGTTATTTTTGTAATGTTAAAAGTATAATTGCAAAGGGAATTTTTTACAAGCCGTTATCTCCATCTAGTGGAGAATGCAAAACATGTACTAAACCACTAAGAAATTACTACTTCTGATATTTTTTATAGCATTACAGAAAATTCAATTATAACAATTAATGGTAAAACAAGTTGAAAAGAATAATTCTGAAGGCTTGGTGCAACAAAGCAGATCACATTTTGCTGAATAATTCAGGTTTTCTTTAAAAGGTTGCTTGACTTTCAGAACACCCCCAGCAGAAGACAAAGAACCAAACTGCGGGGAGAGGGAATTGCTGCCCATCCAGACCAGATTCATCTCGCATCATTGCTCTTGTATCACCTGGGCTGTCAAAGCAGGTTTTAGTGCTCAAAAGCTTTTGGTTGTAGCACTGAGGCACATTAATTTCTGGTAAAAGTCTTATAAATTCATCCTTAAAACCAAATTATTAAAAAAAAAAAAAAATTAAAAAAACCCTTCAGTTTCTAGAAATGGTCTGTACAGATCTCCACCCTCTCATTTATTATATAAAAGGGACATTCTGCATATTTTACTGTTACTTAAACACAGTTTGGGGTGTAACTCAATGGAAAGGCAGTAGTGTAGCATGCTCAAGGCTCTGGGTTTGATCCCTAGCACCACACACACACACTAAAAAGAACACTGATTACAGTATCAGTTCTACATGTATTACCTTTGATTTCTGCAGAAGTATCAATATTTGACACACTAGCATTCAAGTCCTCCAAATCAAAGCTGTCACATTCTTTTAATATTTTGGCTTGGTTGAAGAAATCATTAGTATCTCGTGGCTGAATCTCATTGAGAATCACCTGTAAGCGGCTTGCTGACTCTGAGGGAGGGAGATGAGAGTACATGAACCCCAATTCCACATCACATGCAGATTTCCCTCAAAATCATTTCCAACATTTGATAATCAGCTATATTAGAAGGGACTCTCAGGGTGGATAACGTGAAAATTGTTTATATAGGGTCTTCATTACATTTAAGTATACTTTTAACATATGAAACTGAAAATATGACAAAAAAACACAACTAGAACTGTCCATAAGACTGAGGCTACCATCTCATTTACATTGTTTTTCTTAGTATTATCTCTAAGAATTGCAAATATGATGCTTAATCATGTAAAAGAAATACTATAAACTTCTTGTTTTAAAAGGTTGTTTTCCTATCTATAAGTTGCCAAGGTTAAAAGATAACAAAAGATTTTTTTAAAAAGCCAGCAACCAAACAACCTTTGTAACACAAGAATATCAAAAAGAGTCCATATTTGTTTTTGAAATATAATATGCTGCTTTCTCAGTATGAACTACAGTCCCAGTATTATATTAAACTTCATTTTTATTCTCCTGGCACTGACTAGATTACAAAGTGTAAGCTTGTGAAGGCAGCACTTTATTCACTGTTGAGTCACCAGTGCCTAGAACAGAAACTGGCTCATGGCAGAGGTTCAGAAATATGGGCTAAAGGAATGTAAGGATGGCTTGATAATAGCCAGGTTCTGATTTTTGTTTTTTAAATATCAACAGATAATCATGTGAAATCAATTAAAATTCAAAGAACAGGTATTGTTTGCACACCTATTTTTATAGTTACATTTTAGGCACTACTGAAAATGCAAAGAGTCAATGTGCTATCATGATGACTCCACCAAAATCTTGGACTAGGGATGTAACTCAGTGTTAGAGCACTTGCCTAGGAAGCATGAAATGCTGGGTTCTATTCCCAATGGAAGGAAGAGAGGGAGGGAAGAAACCAGTATCTTATGCTCGTCTGTTGCCTCCCTGAAATTTTGCCACAAACAAACAAATTTCAATAGCCACAAAAAAAGTAACTCTGGCACAAAAAAGAAACCATGCAAAGACCAGGAAAATAAAAGATTAGAATAAAATTTCTATCCATTTATCTCACTGCTTTTAGGTGAGGCTTTTTTCTTCCCCCCAGGAATTCAAAATGCACCACCAATAATAATGGGAAAAGTAGGAAAAATGAAGATGGAAAAAAGAAAAGGCAAAATTAAAGAAAACCTGTGAGACAGTTTCTGAGACCAAGTGATATTTTAAAGCTCTTCAATAACAAATAGCATAATCTAAAGGTACTACCTACAAGAGAGGTGAATAAAATATTCAAGATCTCTTATCCAGAACATACCAGTACTTGCCTGATTCAAGTATTAGCTATAAGATTGCATGTTCCTTATTCCCACGCACTATGTATGGAAACTAAAACATCAAAATTTGACATTTAGGCTAATATTAATCTGAATGAATAACTCTCTTAGTATCAAGAACTATCACTAACCTTACAACTTATCTTTTAGTAAAGAACAAAACCTAACATTTTCTGAGTAAAACACTGCTCCAAGTTACTTTAATTATCAGCACAAGGTATTTCAGTGTATGTTCATGATACACTCAAAAGTGTTCTTAATACAGAACTCTCATTTGCACTTTGAAATGCATTCAAAAACTGTATTTCAACACTAAATGTAAATTTACTTCCATGTGCTCAAAGGTGTACTCCATGTTTGTGCACACCTTTAACGGCTAAAATCTTCGAGCCTATATAGTTCAGGTATGTGCCACCCGGGACATCCCATACACTGAGCTTGGTTCCTGTCCTTCTGATAACTGTTGGTCCATTGATTTGTTAACAACAAATATTTATTGTGTATCTATTTCTACCCGCACTGAGCTAAGAAGTATACAGGGGTGTGTAAGGAGGGGAGGGAGAAACAGACAACATCCCTGTTAAATTACAGTTCAACGAAGGAAAAGTCCCTTAGGAGAAGGACAGCAGTAAGAAGCAGGCTGGAGAGGAAGCAGAAGTCAAACCATTACAGGACTTAGTCCAAGGTCACTAAAGTACTCTAAGCAAGGGGGGTTAGACTGGAATGAGGCACAAAGGTTAAGCAAAGATTATGTGTAACATGATAAATTGTATGATTAAAAAAATTATTTTGGACTTAGCAAGAAGGAATTGGAAAGAGATAGGAATAGATGCAGGGAAATCAGCTGAGAGGGCTCTGGATTGGTTTAGGCAAAAGTGGAAAACTGTCTGGAGAAAGTGAGAAGCTACAGATAAAAAGGAAAAAGATTTATGAGATGTTTATGGGTAACATTGAAAGAATGTGGAGATGAGCTGGATACAAGGAGCCAGGGAAAGAATGTCAAGCAGTCATAGGTTCCTGACTTGCAAAAAGAGATCTGTATGGTAGGAACATGCACATAGAGGAAGAGACTGAAAGAAGAAAAGCAAATGAAAATTCATGAATTCAACTTTGAGCATGTGAACTATCTCTTCCCATTTCTTTCCATCAAATGTTCTTTGTGTTTCAAAAATTTGGAATTTGTTCCAAATTCCTAGCAACTTATTCTCTCTGACCATTCCATCAGCTGCCCATCTCTGCCCACCCTGCCTACTCTCCCAAAAACAAGCTTGCAGTCTGTGATTTGAAATAACAATACTATAAAATCCAATTTTCCCTGGAGAAGAAAAACACCTTGCTCACCACCTGGTTTGCGGGGTATAAAGGGGGCAGCTATTTTTTTAATAGTTAAAAACATTACTAATAAAAGGGCAGAATAATCACAAAAAAATAATAATTTCTTCCATTTCAATTTAGCTTTTATAACTGTCCAAAGAAAAGATTAGGAGAGAAAGAAAGAGTGAATGAATAATCAAATGATAGCATGTAGCCTTCCTTGTCTGCTGACCTGAATCAGTGTCCATGGGGATGAGGCCCTCGGGGGAGGAGCTCTGAATGACTGGAGACACCACTGTCGAAAGCCTGTAAGAAAGCAGCAAGAGCTTCTCTACCACAGGTCTCCACTCGCTCACCAACTGCAGGCTGCTGCAACAGGACATTAGGAACATTTATACTAAAACCAAAACCACATTTTGAAAACAGAAATTAACAAATAAGAAAAGTTGAAAGAATTTCATTTTAAAGCTGCAATACATGAAATATTGAGGCATTAAAAATGTATATATACAGGCAGATTTTTAAATCAAATTTTCAATTCTCTTTAAGGCAACAACCAACATTCCTTCCCCAACACATTCCAATAGTGGGTAAAGTTCAGACATGAGTGTATTTCTGAGACAAGAGATAGCTGTGGATGTTCTTACTTCAGAGGTAACTTCTGCAACATTCCTGTTATACAGTGGACTCTCCCATACATTGGGAATGCTGCTGCTGCCTGAAGCAAGAGAATTCTCAGCCTGAGATACTTCTTCCTCAAGATGTTCCATCAAGCATTTGATAACTAGAAAAAAACAAAGAGAAAACAGAAATAATGCCAGTTTTAAAACACATTTATAAATTTGAGAACAGCAAAACAGTTCACATGAAAACACTCAAGTGAACTTTATTTTCAGGTTTTGAATCAGAAAGATTTTTCGAGGTTCTCCAGCCCTTTACCCATTTCTAGTCATAGACACTAACTAAAGAATGGAGAAGTAATTTTCCCTGACTGCCTGGCATTCACTCTACACCATTCCTCCTTGACATCCTCTAGCTGGGTATCAAACCCCAGGCCTGTGTGATGTGGGCTATATGGCTAGCTTTATTGAGATATAATGAGCATACCTTCCAATTCATACATTTAAAGTATATAAGTTAATGGTCCTTAGGAAAGTCAGAGCTAAGTTGCAAACATCACTACAATTGTAGAACATTTTCACTGTCTCTCAAAAAACCTTTACCTATTAGCAGTCACTTCCCTTCCTGCACTTCTGCCCTTCTTCTGCCCTAGGCAATCACTAACCTATATTTTTTGTTTGTATATTCTGGATACGTCATATAAAAGGAATTATACAACCAAAGTTCTTTTGTGACTGGCTACTTTCACTTGGCCTGATACTTATCCATGCTACAGCACATTATCAATTACTTCACTCTTTCTTATGGCTGAACAATTGTCCATTGCATAGACGTACCACATTTTTACTTATCCATTCATTAACTGATGAACATATAGATTGTTTCCACTCTTTGGCTAGTATCAATACTGCTGTAAAGATTCTTGTACAGTTTAAAATTTTATAGTTGTAAAGTTTTTGCTGAGGCATGTGTTTTCATACTTCTGGGAGTATACCTGTTGTGGACTGAATGTCAGTATCACCACCCCTTACACCTGCATTGTATGACGGTTCCATTTTCTTCATACCCTCAGCAACATCTGAAATTTCTGAGTTTTTTTATTATCATGGCCAAGCTGCTGAGTATGAAGTACCTCCTCATTGCGTCTTTGATCTGTATGTCCCTAAAGGCTAATGATGCTAAGCATCTTTTCAAGTCTTTATTATTCATTTACGCATCTTCTTTGGAAAAATTTCTATTCAGATTCTTTGTCCATTTTTAAATTTAGCTATGCCCTTTTGTTAGTGAGCTGTAAAAATCCTTTATATATACTATTTAGACACAAATCTTTTGTCAGATTTAAGATTTATAAATGTCCCATTTTGCAGGTTGTCATTTTATTTACTTTTCTTTAGCAGTGCTGGAGTTTGAACTCAGGGCTTCACATTTGCTAGGCAGGCACGCTACCATTTGAGTCACCCTCCTGTCCCTCTTTTTACTTTCTTGATGATATACTTTGATGCATGAAAGTTTTAAATTTTGATGAAATCTAATTAATCTAATTTTTGTTTTGTTGCTTGTGCTTTGGGAGTTATATCTACGAAACCGAGGCTTAATTCAAGATTACAAAGATTGACACTCATGTTTTCTTCTGAAAGTTTTATAGCTAAGGTTCATACATTTAGGTTGTCAGTTCATATTGAGTTAATTTTTTGTATATGGTTTGAAGTAGTGAATCCATTTTCATTCTTTCATATACAGACATGAGATAGCCCAATACAGCAGATGTTTCTCCTCATGCCTCAGAAAAAGAGGGTTATATTTTAAATTTTAAAATTAAGCATAACCAGTAAATTACTAATATGCAAAATATATAAAACTCCTAAAAATTAATAGGAAAAAGACAAATAATTCCACAGAAAACTGAACAAAGGATATCACAAGCATTTCACCAAAGGGTGTAAACATGTAAAAAGATGTATCACAAAAAGATACATCACAGTAACCACAAAAATGCAAAATGAAAATACAATGATATATTACTTTATACTCTACAAATTTTTCAAATCTGACTAGAGCAAATTATGATTATGACATGATGTAACACAACACCTAATTTGTTGGTGGCAGTGTAGTGGGAAAACTTATTCACAGTCTGAAGATGCAGAAGCTTTATGACCAGATAGTCCAATTTTGGGGGAGAGGGGGGAAGGTTTGCAGTACAGAGGTTTGAACTCAGGGTCTACACCTTGAGCCACTCCATCAGCCCTTTTTTCGTGAAGGGTTTTTCCGAGCTAAGGTCTCATGAACTCTTTGCCCAGGCTGGGGTTGAATCGTGATCCTCCTGATCTCTGCCTCCTGGGTAACTAGGATTACAGACGTGAGCCATAGCACCCGACGTCCACTTTTTTGTTTACCATGAACTCCTAGAAATCTGCATTAGACAATCTATCTGAGAATACTAACACTGGCATTATTTATTTAGAAAAAACAAGTCTATCGACAAAAGACGAGATTACCAGTTTACATAATGCCCACAGTACTACTGAGATAAAATTCAAAGTCATATAAAACAATATGTTATTTCATGCATATATACATGGCAAAACTATAAAGTAAAGCAAGATGAAAGATTAATAAAGATTAATATAAAACACAGGATAGAATATGCTTCGAAGATATGGGTGCTATTCTACTTTTTTTTTTTTTTAATGAGACTGGGTATCAGTGTGTTACCAACACTGCCACTAATTCCTGAAAGGATCTTCCTATTTCATCCTCCTGAATGGCTGGGACTGCAGGCATGTATCACTGCACCCAGATAAGAAAACTGAGTCTGGGTTTTTTTTTTTTTTTTTTTGGCTTTTTGGCTTTTTGCAGTGTTGGGGATTAAACCCAAAGACTTGTACATACCAAGCACAGGCTCTACCACCAAGCTATACCCTGGCCCTTGTTCTACTTCTTAAACTGAGTGTTATCACCTAGCTTGTATACAAAGTTTGTGAAGTTTTTATAGGCATATATTCTGTATTGACATATTTTATTGTTAACAATATTTCATAATTAAAGTGTCTTGAATTGAAATGCTTTCTGTGAATCATGCACTCTGCTCCACTCCCCAACTCACCCCAATTGCAGCTCTCCTCCTGGTCATCTTCTCAGAGTCCCCTTAAGTGGGCAGGTATCATCCTCTACCAGTACTGTCATCTTTGCATCCCAAGACCCATAACCACATTCCCATCAGAGCTAATCATGGTCTCCTGCTTTTTCCCTACCATCTAAAGAAGGATAGTTTTCAAAATTCTTTCTATATCTGACCTCTCTTTTGCTTGTTTTTAAATTCATATTTGTCTGTATTTTCAGTACAATTCCAAAATGAAGAGTCATTAGCATAAAATTATGTACATAAATCCTCAATAAAATTTATAGAAAAATTGCTAAATCTAAACCATCTTGGACCATAGGCTTTAGAATTAGCTATAAGGAAAAAGTAAAAGGGGGTGGGGTTTGGGTGTGGTTGGGTAATAGCAGTCAATTATAACATAAGCCCCAACACATAAAAGAATTCGTATACAAATAATGAAGATGACCTGTCTATAATCACAGTAAAATTCCTGCAGGAAGAAAGTACAGTTTTTGTGGAGAAAGAGGTTGTCCTTTATTAATGTACATTTGTACATCTACGTATTTAACATAAATCATCTGTTTAGAAACAAGTGTGACAGTTGAGTAAACTGTTTATTTGCATAAAGGAACTCACCGTGCTGTTACATGTTTGTAAACTCTTAAATAAGAAACCACAAAATAAATACTGAACCATTAGACAGTTTAACCAAATGGATAGTGAGAGAATAAGATATTGGTTTTGATGATAAAAGCAGAAGGCTATTTCCTTAATACAAACCCATTAATGTGTTCCTTTCCACCACAGCAGCTGACTTATCTCCATCTCTGCATTCGACCTGCTGGGCTAAGGAGGCAGACAGGGATGCTGGCAGAGCATCCTGCCAGATTAAGAGGTTCAGCAGGTAGGAAGCTGTTACACAATCATATGGTTTCGTACTTGTGCTGAGCTCCAGTGCTGCCTGGAAGAAGTCTTGCAGTTTCTCAGAATCCTAAAACAAAGCAGTCTCAGTTACTGCCATAAAGAGGTTTTTATAATTTGAAGGAATCGTACATAATTTAAATTCACAATCTGTCATAGAGCTGTAACTCAATATGAACATTAATTTATTTTCTCCCTGAATATAAGCTAGTTTTTATTATAGTAACTGATGACTACTATTAATCAGTTCAGAGATGAAGGCCTTGAAAATAATTTCAATTGGAAAATTCAACACTGGTATTTTTTAAATGTCTTCCTTCAGCAAAAGTGTACTTTTTCCTATAGAAATTCCCTACATCTATAACCAGACTACCTTTGAAACTACCTTTGTAGCAGTGTTTTCCTCTCCCAGTCATATCTTAGAAAGATATGCCATCACAGTATGTACTATACAAAGGCTGTTTCGAAAATTGTTTTGGTGTTAGGTACATTTTAAAAAAAAATATTATATAGGTAATCGCTAAAGAAAGACTTTGGAAATATATCGTTTAATTAATATTTTAAAATCCTGAATGTCTATTCCATTCCAATGCCATTTTATTAGTATGCAAGCAGGATCAGAAAATAAGAATAAAATCCTATAGAAAGCCATACGTTACTAAATTTCCTGAATTCCACAGTGTCTCTACTAAGCACATGTCTGTCAAACTAGAGGGGCACAGGTCCCCAAAGAACACTTTGCAGTTTAAGAATCAAGTCTTTTACTTATTTATTTATTTATTTATTTATTTATTTTTGGTGGCACTGTGGTTTAAACTCAGGGCCTCACGCTTGCCAAGCAAGCATTCTTACTGCTTGAGCCACTCCACAAACCCTGTTTTGTGTTGGGCATTTTTGAAATAGGGTCTCAGGAACTATTTTCCACGGAACCGGCTTCAAACCACGATCCTCCTGAGTAGCTAGGATTTACAGCATCAGGCTAAGAACCAGGTTTTTCATATATATGCTGTAATATGCCTTTTCCTCTCCAGATACTCTCAAAAACTTTGCCAGGAATGAGGCATAGCTACACAAATAAAAAACTACATGTGATGAATAGTAAGGGAGGAGAAGAAAAATCTCTTATTTTAAAACTGTGTAGGAGCATGTGGCCCTGAGTTCAGACTCCAATACTGCCCCCCCTCCCAAAAAAAGAAAAAGATTCCAATTTAAAATTCTGTAGGAAACAAGAGTTAGCAGACTGAGAACCAAAGAACCTTCTGCTTGCTGGAGAGCAACTCTCAACCTGAACCCAAATCTGAAAAGATATCCTGAGATCTTGCAATGCCATTAAAAGACACGGTGTTCTCTAGCATGTGTTTCTACAGAACCCCACTGCACCTACAAGTTGTCGTGTCAAGCCACATATCATGCACTAAATACAGCTGGAGCCCAGACCATGGCTCAGCCATAGCCCCTGCAAGTGACCTTGGCCTCTACAAAACTCTAACAAAAAGCTATAGCAAGGGCATTTAAAAAGCTCTGGAGCCTACTCTGCTGGTGGCCCCATAGCCCACAATAAGTCTCGAGGCCAGAGATGAGACTTGGTAAGGGAACCCCTTGCAGACTCACCCCATGCTGTGCCTTCACACCCACACCCCCCAGCCCATCTTTGGTTCCTACCCCAAGGTGGCAAGAGCAGGGTGTCAGGAAGAAAGCTAGGGCTGAGACTGGGGCCACAGCCAGGGTAGACCTCCTGGGGAGAAAACTGTTGCTAACCTCAAATGCTCTAGAGTTTCAGTCTCAGTTTAGCTACTGCTTATTGGAAGACCAGAAACATGTTCTCCATCTCATTTGCCACCATCTTCCAGTCTACAAAGTGGGAAGATTATCTTTAAAAACTGAAATTACTGTAAGTGATGTGTTTTGATCAAATATTATAAGCCCAAGGGAACTGGGGAGACCATAGTTAACAGACACCTACCAACAATCTTGTAAACAACAAAATCTACTGCCTTCTGCACCCCAACATTCCTTTCATCAAAGCAGTAAAAAAAGCAAGCCTGGGAGCTAAGAGGCATGGCTCAACTGTGGGGGCCCTGAGTTCAAACTCCAGTATCACAAAAAAAAAAAAAAAAAAAAACAGGGGAAGTAGGACTGAATGATGTAGACTTTCACCATATTTCCTCTTTTCTCACCATCCCACAATAGTAGAAAGATATGAGTAGCTGAAAGAAATAGCCAAAAGACATAAGAAGGCTGATGCAAAGAACCTGGACAATCCTGGTTGCTTCACCTATGCAAAGTAAAGTTTTATGCATGTAATCAGATTTACACTGATACAGGGAAAGTCCCAATACCTGAAATTGTGTAGCTCTTATTGATAACTTCATCAGAAGATCAAACGCTAAAGTTTTTACTTCTTCAAAAGTACTGGTAAAACATTCCATTAGTGTTTGGAAACGACCATCATCAATATCTTGACTTAGCTGATAAACCGTTTGGACACTACCTAAAAAAAACAAAATATCAGAAAAGATCTAAAAGTAAGTTAAAGTCAATCTTCTGAAGTTATCTGGCCATACTTACACAAAAAATTCATACTTCATACTTTACCCATCATAAGACTTAACTTTATACTCTACCACAACTCTTACTTTTTTTTTATTGTTTTATTATTCATATGTGCATACAAGGCTTGGGTCATTTCATTTTTTTTTTTTTTAATCCTGGTATTGGGATCAAACCCACGCTCTTGTATATGATAGGCAAGGGCTCTTCCACTTAAGAGCCCTCACACTTCATATTTTACCCACAGGCTTAAAATAGCTTTTCTATTAATGCATTTCTTCAAATGACAAAATAATTACTACAGTTTTCCAAATAGGAAATAGACATTCCTTAAAATTTAAAACCATTTTATTCTCTTTCAAAAGGTATTATTAAAAGATTCCTAACTTTTTTTTTTTTTTTGCAGTACTGGGGCTTGAACTCAGGGCCTACACCTTGGGCCACTCCACCAGCCCTTTTCTGTGTTAGGTGTTTTCAAGATAGAATCTCGAGAACTATTTGCCCGGGCTGGCTTCGAACCACTATCCTTCATCTCTGCCTCCTGAGTAGCTGGGATTACAGGACTGAGCCACCTACACCCGGATCCTAAGTGATTTTTAAATATAAACAAAAGCAGCCTGGAGGTGTGGCTCAAGCCACAGAGTGCCTGCCAAGCAAACACAAAGCCCTAAATTCAAACCTCAGTACACCAAAAAAATTTTTAATAGGCAAAAGCAAACAAATTTAGGAATACATATTTTTTTAATCATCATAAAACTTCCTGACCTAGAATTCGAAGCCCTACCATGTCTTAGAATGAACTGACACAGAACGATGACCATGATCACATATCCTACTCTTTTTATGTTGACCCACCCCTGCGTTCCTGGGATAAATTCCACGAGGCCACAGTGTACAACATTTTTAATATGCCACTGGACTTGATTTGCTAGTATTTTGCCAAAGATTTTTACATCTGTATTCATAAGAAATACTGGTCTGTAGTTTTCTTTTTCTATTATGTCTTTATTTGGCTTTTGGAACAGGGTATGAAGAATCTCACAGAACAAATTAGAAGCTGCTCTCTCCTCTCCACTTTCATGAAAGACTTTGAGAAGGAGTAGGATCAATTCTTTAAATGTTCGGTACACTTCACCAGTGAAGGCATGTGTACTGGACTTTTTTTTTTTTTTCTGGCAGCACTGGGAATTGAACTCAGGGCTTCAAGCTTGCTGGGTAGACACTCTACCACTTGAGCCACCTCACAGCCCTGCTGGGAGGTTTTTGATTACTTATTCAATCTTGTTCATGTTTGTTCAATTTTTTTAATTTCTTCTTTAGCCAGAAATTTTCATGTTTCTAGCAACCTGTCCATTTCAAGTAGATTATCCAATTTGTTGGCATACAATTGTTCATTTTATTATCTTATAATCCTTCTTATTTTTATGTAAGTGTAGAAATGTCCCTGCTTTATTGCTAATCTTATTATTTGTACTTTCTTTTTTTGCTCTTAGTCTAGCTAAAACGTGGTCAATTTTGTTAATCTTTACCAAAAAAAACTTGTCTTGATGATTCTGTATTTTTTAAATTTCTGTTTGTTTACCTCTGTTTTAACCTTTATTATTTCTTTCTTTTTGCTAGCTTTGCTTTAAGTTTGCTATTGTTTTCTAATTTCTTGAAGTACAAAGTTGGATTATTTATTTAAGATCTTTCTTCTTTTTTTTCTCTTTGGTTTTTAAGACAAGGTCTTGCTACGCAGTGCAGGCTGACCTTGAACTCACAATCTATTGCCTCAGCCTTCAGAGTGCTAGAATTACAAGAGTGTACTCACCATTCTCAGCTTTTTTTTTTTTTTTTTCCAGTACTGGGGCTTGAACTCAGGGCTTACACCTTCAGCCACTCCATCAGCCCTTTTGTGTTAGGTGTTTTCTAGATAGGGTCTCACAAACTATTTGCCCAGGCTGGCTTTGAACCATGATTCTCCTGATCTCTGCCTCCTGAGTAGCTAGGATTACAGGCGTAAGCCACCAGTGCCTGGTTCAGATTTTTATTTTTTAATATAGGCATTTACATCTGTAAATTTCCCTAAGAGCACTGCTTTTGTAATTGTATGTTGTAATTTGCTTTTATTTATCTCAAAGTATTGCATTACTAGGACTCAAACCCAGAGCCTGCTAGGCAAGGGCTCTACCATTTTTAACTTCCTTCATGATTACTTTTTGACCTACTGGTTAACAGCTTTGTTCAAATCTGAACAAATCACTGATACCACTCTATAAAACAGCTACCACTACCCATACTTCCAAAAGCATTCTATATCTCCCTCTTGTCTTCTTGAAATATTTTTTCATAAAACTTTTCATCTGATATTCTATGTAGTAACTTGTTAATTACTGTCTATAACCCTTCACTAAAATGTAAGCTCTAAAAGAGGAAACCCTCTGTTTAGTACATTGCAAACAAACTTTTTTAACCTAATTGTGGAATCCAATTTTTCACCGTGAATACTATGACATCTAATTCTACGTGGTTTATTCTTCTTGGTCTAGGATATACTTGAGGAAATGCAGAAACCATTTTGACTATTACCAAACTGCAATCCTTCTGCAAAGTAATATAAAATCTCCACAAGTTCTTGCAATAAAGATGAAGGATAAATTTACAATTTCCACCTCGTACTTCATAGTCATGGCTCTTTACCCTCCTTTAAAAGTAATGGGTCAGTTGGGTGTGGTGGCTCAAGTCTGTAATCCTAGCCACTCAAAAGACAGATGGGAAGAATTGTGGTTCAAGGCCAGCCCAGGTAAAAAGTTCACAAAAGCCCAATCGCAACCAATGGCTGGGTGTCGTGCTGTGTGCCTGTCATCTCAGCTACTCCAGGAAGCACAAATAGGAGGATTGCGGCAGGCCAGCCTGGGCATAAAGCAAGACCCTATCTCAAAAACAACCAAAGATAAAAGGATCAGTGGAGTGGCTCAAGTGGGAAAGCACCTGCCTAGCAAGTAAGTATGAGGCCCTGAGTTCAAACCCCAATCCCAAGAAAAAAGAAAAAAATAATGAGTATAGTATAACTTGCTATATTTGCATTACCTCCTATTGTTTAATTACTATGACATCAGTAACAGCCCAATTATATGTGTCTCACCTCATTAAGATGACTCAGATTTTTCACTTTCAAAGTATATTTAAATATATTATTTTTCTGACTGAAAAATATCAGTTTAATTTAGCTTACTGTCTTCTCCCATGCCTAAATACATTTAATGTGCATTTTGCATTAGATAAGCAAAAACTTTTTGTTAATCAATCAACCACAGGTAAAAACTTCACTAAACTGATGAATCCCTACATTCATTACCAGTAGGTAATAACAAATTACAAGTTCAGTGGTTTTAAACCAAAAAGATCTATTCCCTCACATTTCTGGAAGGCAGAAGTTCAAAACCAATTTTATCAGTCAGGCCACACTCGCTCCAAAGGAGCCTCTTCCATCTGCTCGTGGCTGCTGGCATTACAAGACATGTGGCTGTATCCTCCAATATCTACCTTCACTGTACCATTGTCTCCTCTCCCTGGTGTCAAACCTCTCTCTACCTGTTTCTTATGAGGATATTTCTGATAAAATTTGTGGCCCATCCAGATAATGAGGATTATCTTATCTCAATGTCCTCAACTTACATCTACAAGGGCATTTTTCCCATGTAAGGTTCATATTCTCAAGGTCTGAGGATTTGACATGGTTGTCTTCTGAAGGCATTTTCTGTCCTATCAGCCCATTGAAATGAGGTAATTAAATTAAACTGATCATCATGAACAAAGGAACAAGCCAACATCATGTACCACCTTGTATAATGCCCAGAGATGAACAAAATACCTGGCAAAGAAACAAATCCTAACCTAGATGCATTGCTCTAAAATGTTAATATAATGAAATAAGAAACCTTCCAGATTAAAGGAGGCCAAGAAGAGGCATAACATCAAAATGCAACCTGTGTGCACTGAATTGACTCCCAGACTATGAGAAATTTTTTTTCTGTAATAAATTGTTGCAATTTGTTGGGACAACTGGCAAAATTTGAATGTGAACTGTACATTAGATAATAGTATGATACCAACATTAAATTTCCTAAATTAGGTTATGGTGCAACAGTTATAAAATCAGTGAGACAGATAAAGCAAATATGGAAAAATATTAGCTGATGGACTGAAATAAAGAGTACATGGCTAGTCACTGAACTATTCTTGAAATTTTGCTGTTGATTTGAATTTTTTCAAAATAAAAACTTGACAGCAATGATTTTCCTTAAATGAAGCAAGCACATATTACCAACATCTAATTCTTTCCCTCCTGTCAAAAAATTATACTTTGCCTGGTAATTGAGAATAAGAAACAATACAACTGGTGTGCAGCTAATGCACACTTGTACTCCCAGCTACTTGGGAGGTGGAGGTAGAGCACTGTTGTTCAGGCCCAGCCCTGGTGAAGCTAATATGAGCATTACCTTCAAAACAAACTGAAAGAAAGACTGTGGGAGTACTCAAGTAATAAAGCACTTACTTAACAAGTATGGATCCTGAATTCAAGCCCAGTACAAAAAAAAGAAGGAAAGAATACAACTAGAGTGTAAAACTCCTTGGTCCCTTGGCTACTGCATGCTAACAAGCAGTTGAGCAGGGAATTTTCCTGACTGACCACAGCTAAGGAAGACTGAACACAAGAAGCAAGAAATCCAATTACAGACATATGCAAGAAGAATCATTTCTTGTCAAGAACCAAAAATAAAAATTAAAGGGGGAAGTTTAAATGTTTATCCTTTTGAGTGCCCCACAGAAGGAAAAACAAAAAATATCATTAAACCATAATGCCTGGAAATGACATTCTTATAATGTCTTTCCGAAACCAGACTGAAGCTTATGAAACAGATAGCATTTAAGGGAAACCACACTTTAACCACAAAGACTCACTGAGGAGTATTAAATTTAAGAGAGGTAATTATGACTTTAATTTTAAAACTTAAAGAACAGATTAGGCCATTTCTTAAAACAGTAATAAACAAATTAGGGAGGTAAAAGCAGGAACTCTTCCCATAATAAGCATAATCTATGAAACTTGTAGTTGTGACTGATCAATGAAAAGGGGACACAGCTTCTCTTTCTCCTATCCTTTACTGGCAAATTTAACTAGGTAAAAATAACAACTACATAGTACAATGGAATCTAAAGAAAAGACAAAAACCTGAAACTTCAAGTAAAGCAAAATGTTGAAAAAAATATGTGTTCTGAAAGGGAAAAAAAATACTCTTGCCAAACGTTACTTAAAACTTACCTTCTAAGACAGGAAAAACTTCAGCTATTGAGCCTAAGATGGTTAAGGCTGAAAACCTAGTGGAGTAGGAGGATCCAGGGAACAATGCTTCAAAAAGACTGCTGCAGATGGATGACATGAAATTCTAAAAAGTACAAGTGTAGCTGAGTTAGCCCACAATAAGGTAGCTTCAGCCCCTTGAAGAGTAGCTGTTTTATTCATTTTTAATTACAACAGTGAAGACTTTTACAACACTAGCTGTTTACTTCACTTGATCATTCAGCTTGGCGCCCACTATGGTGTAGATAGTTTGCCCCCAAAGGTACATGTGCTTCAAGCTTAGTCCCCAGAGTGGTTGTGTTGAGGTAGTAGCACCTTTAAGAGGCAGACCCTAGTGGAAGGTGACTGGTTCATGGGGGCTCCATCCTCATGAATGGATCAATGCTTTCTCTCAGGATTAAGTCCGGTATCATTAGTTCCTATGAGAATGGGGCCAGGTTCAACTTTCTTGGCTTGATCTCTTGCTTCCACTGTCTCACACATGTGTTCCTCTGCACTGTTTGTTTTTGGTTTTTTTGCTTTTTCTCCCATGTTGTGACACAGCCAGAAAGGACCATCACTAGATATGAGTACCATGCTGTTTGTACTTTCCAACCACCAACCCCTTTTTTTTTTTTTTTTAAATAAACCTCTTTTCTTTGTGAAGTATCCAAGTACTGTGTTATAGCAACACAAAATGCACTAACACAATACCGATGACTACAAACTATATTGTGACTTCAATTAACCCTACCTACCTTTATAGAAACAAAAAGCAATACAATTGTAACTGTAGACAAAAAATAAAAAGACAGGGCTGGTAGAGTGGCTCAAGTGGCAAGAGCACATTCTTAGCAAGCATGAGTCCCTGAGTTCAAACCCCAGTGCCACCAAAAAAAAAAAAAAAAGAAAAGAAAGGAAAAAACATGTTTCTGGTTTGGTGAAAATAGGATGTTTAACCCTTGCTTTGTGTCAGAACTGTATGAATACTGATTTTCCTAGTCAGAAGCATTCAGATGCCAAATGTATGAATTCTTTTTAATGTTTGAAAATGAACAAAGAAGGTTGGAGGTGTGGCTCAAGTAGTAGAGCACTTGCTTACTACTTACAATGCCCTGAGTTTAAACCCCAGTACCACAAAAAAGAAAAAAAGAAATATCCAATATGGACTACTTGACAAGTTTGGCTATGGCATAATTCATATAAGGATCCAATTATTCCACTGACTTTCTCCTCCCCTGAGACTCCTGCTCTGTTTATACAAATGATAGAAAATGAAACTTTTAATAAAATGCAATTTTTTTTAAAAAGCAAAGTGAGAAATATTTTGACCAGGATAAAATCTTTTTCCTCTAATTCAAAAAAAATAATTTCAGTGTAAGATAAAGAAGAAAATTATAAAGAGCAGCTGTGCCTCTCAAGTACCCCGTGGCTGTTCTGTTGTGAACAGTGTATGAGAAGCCCTAGTCCCAACTGACTAGAGCCAGGAATGTGAGGTCCCTGGATTCATTTTGTTTGTAGATATGCAACCTTGGGGATTTATACTTTAGGCCCTCACAAGCCCTAAGAGTTTACTAGTTTATTAATCCTACTGGGTTTCAAAGGAATAGGGCATTCACAAAAATTGTCCTTGTCAAATTAGTTTTAATTGTAAGTAAAACAGCATTCACGTTAAAGCACCACAAAGTTACTCTCAAGGAATTATCTTATCCTAATTGTAGTCATTTATATTTCTAATATAGTTCATTTTTCCCTCAATCAGACTAACTATAATGGAGACAATGATCATATCTATGCATCAGGATCCCTAATCCAAAGCAGTTTCCCATACATTCAGTAAGAGCTCAATATGTGCATATTTAGTTATTTTCAATAGTTCCAGTGAGCCGGGCACCAGTGGCTCATGACTGCAATCTTAGCTACTCAGGAGGCAGAGATTAGGAGGACCGTGGTTCAAAGCCAGCCTGGGCAAATAGTTTGTGAGACTCTATCTCAAAAAACCCTTCACAAAAATAGGGCTGGTGGAGTGGCTGCAGGTGAAGGCCCTGAGTTCAAGCCCAAGTACCACAAAAAAAAAAAAAAAAAAAAACCAGTCCCAGTGAATTTCCAAATATCCTGGCTTACCATGGAAAACCCTAACTACCCATTCTGAACTTGATTTTCTATACTCAGTTCCTATTACTCAACTCCTCAATTTCCCCAAGTTATCTTATAAGTCATTCACACCAGTGAATTCACCACCAAGTTCTCCCTGTACTGTCTTACTTAAGCTAGTCTCATCCAAAAAACTTGAGATTTTAAAGTCAACAGCAGATCTGAATTTGGGTCCTTGCTGAACCATTTACTGGTCGAGGGATGCTGTGCAGGTCACAGAACTTTACTAAGCTTCACCACTTTTTCTCACCTGCTAAGTGAGGATAAGAATGCTTACTCTACAACCTTCTACAGAGATTAAATGAGAACATGGATATGCAACATTTTATAAATTCAGAAGTACTCTAGTTATTAATATTAGTTATTTAGGTATGAAATCACATCCAGTAACCATCTTCTTCAACTAATAGTCTCTTCTTCCCCAGTACTTGGTGTGGTGATTATCACTGAATCAACTATATATTCACTTTTATGAGGATAATGATAAAATAGGGCCACGTTCACAATCTCCAAACACCATGTGTTACTATCAGTTAGAAGACAAAACCATAACTGCAAAGTTAACTCAGATTAAGTCGCTAAAGACTAATGTTCAAAAAACGCATATCGAGCCATATTTGGTGGTAAATGCTTGTAAACCCAGCACTCAGGAAGCTAAGGCAGGAACATAGTAAGTTTGAAGTCAGCCTCACATAGTGAGACCCTGTTTCAAGGAAAAAAAAAAAAAAATGCATATCCCTAACCATGATCCAAGAAACCACATATTCATGAAAATTCAGACTCTAAATCTACCAAATAGGTTTTGTGTTTCTAAGTACTTAATTGAGATTTCACAAGTGTCATTTTACCCCTTGCAAAAAGCAGCAAGAGATGTTTCCTTAAAACTAATAATGAATGAAAAGAGGCTAACAAAGACAGCAGGGGCTCCATATATACTCTAAATAAATTACTTTTAATGACTCCCAAAGAGGCTTTTTAGAGTGATTTACAACTTACAAAGATATTTCTCACTTAGTCTCAAAACCAACCTTTTTGAGAGGGTTTCCTAATCCCACTTACAGTGGAGGAGACTCAAGCCAGCCAACTGATAAATGTCAGAATTGGAACTAATCTTTTATCCCTAGAAAGTTTAGGCTGTGACTTTCTAATATTCATTGTCAGGATTCTTAAGATGATAAAGCTAACTTCAGCTTTTGTATAGAAAATATTTGTTAAATTGAAAACCAAGTCCATCCATACTAACATTTAGAGTAGGTTGTGAATATGTCATAATTCAAATGCATCATTAATTTATTATACCTATTTCCCAAAGCAAACCAAAACAGATGAGCTCTATTTCTTATTTAGGTCTTACGGTAAAAAAAAAAAGGGTCTGCTGGAGAGGCTAGCTTTGGGTTAGAAACCAGGGAAAAGCTCATTCTGTTCTGCTGAAAAGAAACTGAAGGTTGTTGGGCTAGCAGAGTAGCTCAAGCAGTAGAATGCCTGCCTAGCAAGTGTGAGGCCCTGAGTTCAAACCCCAGGATTGCCAAAAAAAAAAAAAAAAGAAAGAAATTGAAGGTTGTTGAACTGAATCCTGGTCCAGACTGGAGCTGCTATGCCTGGAGTTCCATACATTGCATTAACACAGTGCCCTGGAACACAGCCCTACTCTTAAAGCTCACCCAATATGATGGACACGAACTTCCTCACACTGAACGATGATGGGCCAGACCACCAACAACGTCAAGCCACTTCAAGTCATGTCAGCGTAAAGAGAAAACAGGCACAGCCAGAGCAGAGTCTTCCACCCTCTGAAGAGGTGTTCAAAGCCCAAAAATACCTATCTGTTAAAGCACTAAGTTCATCTGGCCCATATGAGTTACAAAGGGGAGCCCATTAATGTCATTCCATAACAGTCCTCAAATGCAGCACTGATTTCACAACTCAGGCTACCTCAAGTTGGGTACCAAAGCACCAGAACGATTATGTGACAGCCACCTTGAATGAAAAAAAAAGCAAAGAAACACAATTCACCAAGAGACTTTCAATTGTTTCCTTGTAATGTTTATTCACAATTGTTTTAGGTTTCTTAAAACTCTGTATCTTGGCTGGGTGTCTGGCTCAATTAACAGAGCACACGTCTAGCAAGTGTGAAGCCCTGAGTTCAAGTCCCATTACCATTAAAAACTAATTTATGTCTAGTAACGTATCACCTACCTTATATTGTTGTAAAGTAATAGAAGGTTGGTCTTTGGTTAACTCACTTTCTGCGGTAAGTTTGGATTTACTTTGCTCCAATTTATAAAGTACCTGAGAACTTTCCTGTATCCTGCAAAACAACTATGCAGACCAAAAAAAAAAAAAGAAAAGAAAAGAATATCTGAGCCACACATTATACTTAAAGATCAGTCTGAAAGGGAAATTTAAGTCAAGAAAAGCACTAATTTTAAACTCTCAAAATCTGAAGTATTTTCTTTTTTGAAAGAAAAATTAACATTTATAATTTTTAAAACCAAAAACGAAGTATTATTGCAACCAGAATATGACCATTAAACCAGTTCTCTGATTTTTTTTAAGTCAGCAGAAACCTAAAGATAATATACTCATTTCTATGCTACACCAATTCTGCATCCCACACGTTGAATGATTAATTTGAGTTGAATTATTCAAAAATGACTATTTTATGGTGCTTAAAAAAATATAAAAATGCAAGAATACCCTTCCTCCTATTACCCACATTTCCTAAAACCACAAATCCCCAAAGCCCCAAAGCTAGCTTTTTTCTTTCAAAACAAATAGCTCATGACCCAAGCACTGTATGCACATATGAACATTAAAAAAAGACAAATAGCTCCAGGTTGATTTGCTGCACCAAAATGAAAGGACTTTTCCCCAGACTCTGAGCCCACAGGTAAGCTTTGTGAAACTACAGAGCAGATCACAGAAGAGCCATAAAGAAAGCTGTTAGCCCAATGCCATGATCATTCCTACAAAATCTAGGCTCCTTTTCAAAATGACTTCCAGAGAGAAGTTCACCACTTTCGGAAGATTTGAGATGCAAAATTCTACCTTCTTAAGAAGAGAACAAATCTGCTGTCGTACTCCAGGAGACTGGCTGTTGAGATTATATGTGATAAAGAACTGAATCCACTGCATTTCTTCTGTGGTAACAATTTCTGTGCTTCGATTACTTTCACAAAGCAAGCCTAAAGTATCTATCCGTACCTAAAATACACCAAGAAATAAAATTTTAATTTCCCAATGAAACAAGCAAAACCTAAACCACCTGAAATGTTTAGTTGTTTACACAGGGTACCAAAGGGAAAAATTACACTTCGGTTTACCCATATGTCCCTTAGAAAGGTTTCCTAATCCAAAAGATCACACAGTTACTTCCTATAAAATGATCTTATCAAATGTATAAGCTTGGGAGGAGTATAAAAACCAACTAGCTAATCTTATTTCATGATAATTCTTCCATCCTTACTTTCTTTTATTTCAGTGACCACTTTACACCAGGACCTCCTCACCTCACTCTCAGATGACTGCCTGACTTCTGTTTGCTTCCACTCTGTTAACTCATCTGTTTCCATTACTTCCTTGCTGAAGACAAAGTGGTTCTGGTTGAATGGTTTCATGCAATAAGTGACTGGGCACCAATGAAGTCATCAGCCTAGCACTGATGCTTTGCAAAAAATGGACAACATCCTTACTCGTCCTCCAGAACTTGTACACCTGTCCTTCCATCCTCTGTACTGCTCCAATGCTCCATTTCCCAGTCAGCCACTACCTACTCTGACCAGGCTCTTCTGAGCCTCACAGACAAGTTCTCTTGCATAAGAGCATATTGGTATCTGTATTGTTTTCTCAGAGTTCCGAGGTACTTTATTAAGTTTTCTTATCACAACAACACTTTATGTAGACTGAGTACAAGCATGACACTTTTAACTTTCTATTCATTCTCTATATGGACTCCCTAAAACAGTGCTGGACACAACTTAGGGGCCTGCACATTAGACTGCTAAAGGAAACAAATAATTCAGGACCGTCTATCTATACAAATCCCCAGTTATTTTGTTCCTCACTTGGCAGTGCTGATGAATTAGGCCTTGCTTTATTCTTGCACTGGACACAAGGTTCTCCCAAGCATCAGTTGCAGACTGCAGATGTCCATGAGCTCTGGCTGCTCGTAAACATGCCATCAAAGCTCCCAGAGCCCCTCTGCTATTACAAGACCCTGAGGATGGAAAAGAATGCTGTGGTCCCACAAGCACAATAACAAAGACTACTACTATGCTATGCAAAGACTGAAATTTTCATGTTTACAATTAACATTGTATTCTCAGAAGTAAAAATCACATTTTAAACTAAATTCTAACACAAATTAAAGCTCCTATTCTAAAACAATCATTAAAAATTATTTAATTGTTCTTGTGTCAATAATTATAAGTAACCATAATTATCTTAATATAAAGAAAACAACTTATCTGCTAGAATTTTTACTTTTTCCTTGACAATTAGAAAATGAAATAGAGAAGTGAATCAGAAAAAAAAAAAGCAAGTGGAGAAATACTACAAAAAATTATGCAAAAACTAAAATAACTTTCTGCTAAGAACAGGAAAAACACTTCAGTAATCAAAGACCATTATTTATCTAAAAATAAACACAGAACTCCTCTGCATATTTTGGAGTTACTATACTCATTAATAAGGAAGACAAAAGGAGGATCATAAAGACCTGTTGCTTTCAGAGACTAGAACACCAGCTATTTAATAAGGAGATAGGGAACTCTGGTTCACAGGACAAACCACATATAAACTATGATATAAAAATAAAGACAAACTTCCTTTAGAACAGATTCATGAAACCTAAATTTTACATGGCCTCTCAAAAAGGCAAGAAAAATTGATTACAATTACTTAAATGATGTAGTATTTTTATGTACAGAAATCAAATTTTCCTGTTACCTTATACTCTTTGAAATACTTTAAGTTTTTAACCATTTTAGTTGAAAGTATTTCTTAAATGGTACAGTAAGATATCATATTCTTGCTTTGTCAAACAGAGTATTTTAAGATTTACTTAATGAGTATAGGTCATCATTTTATACCTTCATTACTGAATTATGCTTTAATTCAACAATTCCTTGGTACTTTCCAAAAACTGGACAAAACACTCCAGACAATGTTCTTATGCATTCTCTCAGCCTTGTGTGTCTGCCCTTACACTCTGACTTACCAAGCTACACTGGATTTCTTAGCCCTATTCTAAATGACTATACACAGCTGCTCCTTTACGTTGTGCCTCCAATTTTGTCTTTTCCAATACAAAATGTTACCTGTCTTTTAACTTACCTGAAACATTTTTAATTACTGTCTCAATCACCTGGATAAGCAAATTATATAAAAATACACGTTTACTCTAGGTTAAGAAAACAACTAATTAAAACTTTGTAATAAAGAAAACTCATCTGGTTTCCTTAACTGGAATCATTCCTTGGCTTGGAGAAATGACTTTAGTCAAAGACTCCATTGTACAGGAACAGTTGTTTCAATATGAAATAGTTATCACTAATATCCTCTTTTACTATTTATAGAAGTGGAAAAGTTTAAACTTAAATATGGCTAACATGTAGTTAAGCATATTAAAGCATCATAAATAGAAATTACAAAAACAAAAATTAATCTTTTTCTTACCAGTTTTAGCATCAATAGAAGTCTGAAGAATCTTTACCATGTACCTTAAGCTTTCAGGGCTGTAATTCAGTAATTTTGGCAAATAATAATCAATCACATAAGACTTTTGATCCAGGTTTCCTTCACACAGTATGTGAAGGAGAGGAGAAACCCAAGTCTCATGCCACTGGTCAATCCAAGTACTGTCGACAGTCTGAGATTTCAAATGACTCTTATGACTTTTAAACATGGTTTCCAAGAGGTCACTAGCATAAGGCACCAATGATTGGTCCCCCATCACTTCTAAGATTTGAGATGGAATACTTTTATCTATTGCCAAAATATGCTCAATTCCTATGTATTCTACCAAACAGCCAAGGCACGTGTATTTTCCTTTAATGTGCCATTCCAATTGTAGAAGACTCTTAGTCAATTCCAAAAAGTAAGGATCAGTGACCAAATCTGCTCCTTTCACTGTGAGCTCATGTATTTGGAGAAGATTTCTGAATATCATTTTGGTTTGGTGTCTCAGAGCATCCAGTGGATGCTCCCAATGAGTATAGACATATTCCAAAAGTCTCCCAACTGTGGATGAATTCCCATTCAGACTATCCTTTAGAGCTGGGGAACTAAATTCAAGAGTATGAATGGCTGCATTAGTCCAAGATGCCAAGATTCTAGACAGGAACATTTCCAGCGTGGACTCCTTAATCCTAAAGAAAAATGAAGCATGAGCCATATTACTATTACCTGAGTGGTAAAAGAAATAGCACTTGGTATTCAACTAGACATTAGAAACGTTAAATACTATATATAAGTATATACACACATATATATATATATATATATATGCACATACATATGTGTATATATATATATGTGCATTATATATGAATTTTTTTAAAATTTTGTGTGTGTGTGTAGTAGTACTGGGGTTTGAATTCAGGGCCTTAGACTTGCTAGGCAGGCACTCTACCACTTAAGCCATGCCCCCAGCCCTTTTCTGCTTTAGTTGCTTTTTGGATAGGGTCTTGTGTTTTGCCCAGGGCTGGCTTCAGACCACAATCCTCCTTCTTATAATTTAAGAGGAACTGGAATTACAGGTATATACCACCACACCCAGCTTTTTTGCTGAGATAGGTCTTGCTAATTTTTTACCCAGCCTGGTCTTGAACCACCATGATCCTCCCAATCTTCACCTCCCAAATAGCTGGGATTAAAGGCATGAGCCACGGTGCCCAGTCCTAGAAATATTAAATTTCTTAATTTTAAAAATATTTCACAACAAAAAATTAAGGGTCAGGCGTGGTGGTACACACCTGTAATCTCAGCTATCCTGGAGGGAGGATCACTGTCTGAGGCTGGCCCAGGCTAAAGTACAAGCTCCTACCTGAAAAATAAAACTAAAAAAGGGCTGTAGGCATGGCTCAAGTGGTAGAGCACTTACCTAGCAAGCATGAGGCATTAAGTTCAAAACTCAGAACGGAAAATTTTAACTAAAAAAAATTTTAAATGCAAACAAGGCCAAAACAGATCTCTATTTGTATATGACTCTTTACATGTAGTAAAAAAATAATACATAAAGGAACATGAGGAATGTTCTGAGGGTGAATGAAATGTTTACTATGTTCATTTTGATGATGGTTTCACATGTGTTTTAAAACATACTGAGAGCCCAGGATTGGGAAAGGTTGGGAATGAGTCTCTCTCACTCTCTCTCTCTCTCTCTCTCTCTCTTTCTTTCTCTCTCTCTCTCTCTCTCTCCTTTCTCAAAAGGAGAGAGAGAATTTATGTAACTAAATACTGGGATTAAAGGTGTATACCACCATCCCTAATGAGAATAATGGAAATACTCTAAAGTTGATTGTAGCAATGCTTGTTCAACCCTGTGAATATAATAAAAGAAATTGAATTATAGTATGTAAATTATAGATCCAAATGCAAAGAAATGCTTTAGAACACTGTAGTTTTCTTCTTATTCACATGTTGATTACTAAGGATCTGTATTTATGGTCTGACATTTTAAATAGATAATCACTTTCAGCCACTATGGAAAAAACACCAAAGAAACACAAAACACAGCCTGGAAGACCTTGTTACAGTTGATGGCTCAGGTCCTTATTATAGTAATATGTTCATAAATAAGCATTTACTTTTATAAGCTTAACTTTACCCATCCAACAAATCAGATTTTTTATTCTATCCATCAGACATGTGACAGTCACATTAGATTCTCTACATTGAAATTCATAAATTTCACAGCACTATATATACAGAAATTTTCTAGGGTTTTTTTTTGTTGTTGTTCTCTCCTTTATCTTTTTTTTTTTTTCCCCAATGCTATGGTTTGAACTAAGGGTCTCACCCTTGCGAGGGCAAGCACTCTAACATTTGAGTCACTACCTCAAGCCCTTGTTTTGTTTGTTTTGGTGCTAGGGATTGAGCCTAAGGTCACATGTTCTAATACTGAGCTATATTCCCAACCCCAAATTTTTAGTCTTAAAAAGTGCTAGCCTAGAGATTGAAATTAATTTTAGAAGTGTTCATTACAGGTTAACCTGCACCAATAATTTCTATAATTCTCTTTCCCTTCATCCTGTCTTCTCTTTGATGTCCTTCATTCCTACACATGTCACTTTAAATTAGGATTTATCCTAACCACTTTTTATGAGTAAGTATGCTGGTTCATTTACATCTTTTAAATGACTCACAAGCAAAAATAAAACATGAACAGCAAAATCAAAACTCACTGTGAACTCAAGGTGAACAAAACATGCACAGTGTCCAAGAGCAAAGTCTCTCCACTTGGGCCCATGCTCCTATCCTGCCAGTCCAACATGGCAAGTGTCCCTTGACACAGGAATAAGAGAGTTGACACAGAGACGTTGGCACAACAAAGGCTCCTGCAGCTGCATATGAACCACTCAGGGATGCTGGTGCAGTCCACTGAACGGAGAAGCAAACTGCTAATCTGGAAAATATGACAGAGCTAACATATAAAGTCTTTAAAACTTTACAAGAGATATTTCAAAATGCAAATTCAAAACTCTCTTCCTTCTGAAGCATTCTAGGAAAACTACTGCTAAAACAGCAAGAAGTATTAAAATTATTACAACAATATTAAAAATAAAGCAAATCTATGAATCCTTTTGCAGTTTGAAAAGTTCTGATGGCGCACAACATGTTGCCACCTGCAGGTGGGCGAGCTCAATGCTTTCAGAGGTATTTTAAGAAAAATGTTCAGTTTTATCCAATGACAACTACTTTACATATTCTCATAGAATAGTTCACATATATTTTGTATAAGGTTAGACAAAAGGACAAAATAAATCTCTAGACAATACAGAAAGGGAAAAAGATAACTAATAATAAATATAAAGACCTTAGCTTAAATTATCAAGTTATATTTTCCACATGGGCCAAAATCCACTAAAAAGTTAACTCAAATATGCTTCCTGTCTAAAATAATGATTTGGCATCTGGCAGAGTGGCTCAAGTGGCAGAACACCAGCCTAGCAAGCATGAGGGCCTGAGTTCAAACCCCGATACTGCCAAAAAAAAAAAAAAAAGATATGAGGTAATGATATGGATTTGGGATTCAATACATATATACATGGAAATGTCATAATGAAACTCTCTGCACAGAAACATTTAAACAAAAATGTCTTTTTTCAAAAATGGAAGACAGGAAGATAAAATATATCCTGTCTGGAGGAGGTTGATACCAGTGGGAAGGGGGAGGATACAAGGAAAGGGTGTAGAAGGGTGAATATGGTGGAAATATTAGGTACTCATGTATGAAAATGGAAAAATAACACCTGTTGAAACTACTCTAAGAATGGGGGCAAGGAAGATAAAGGAGATGATGCAGGTGAATTTAACTAAGCTATACTGTAAACACTTTTGTAAATGTCACAACGAACCCCCCCAGTACAACAGTAATATGACAAGAAAAAAAAACTTTTTAAGTAATGATTTGGGTTATTCTTAATAAAAAGAGCATATTTAACAGAAAGTTATTAGTATATGTACATATATATTAATCTCTGCATAATTTTAATGCTACAAACATCTTTTATGATACTGAAAGAACTAAGCAAACTAGAAGGATATAACCCAAAACTGATGATAGTAATTATCTTTGTGACATGGATTTATAGGTGGTTGTTACTTTTTGTTTCATTTTCCTGACTTCATCTAAACTTTTGAAATTGTCTTTCTCAGAGAAAAGAGTCATCAGAAAAATCCAGACTATGCAAAAAAAAAATTTTTTTTAATTTTACTTTAAAAATATTTTTAAACCTTAGTACCACCAAAAAATAAAATACAGAGATTTTCAAACATATGTCTAATTCTCAATGAAGTACAGTTATAAAAACTTACCAACTCAGGAATTTTTTCAGATGGATGAAACATAGTCTTAATAAAAAGAATAACAGCTAATCCGGATGTACTCTGAATAGCCTGTAATAGGTCATCTATTTGGCAAAAAGCAGAGAACATGTGTTAAAGGACAGATACTCTGGGGCACTGGAAAGAGCAGATGCTCTGGGGTCACATAGTTCTGGGTACAGTTTCTAGCTTTACTATTTTCCTAGGTGAACAAGTCGTACACCAGTTACTTAACCTCCCAGGAATTTAGTTTTCTCTTCTATAAAATACAAAATATAACTTCTGACAAATTGTTACAAGGTTTAAAAGAACAAAGAAAATGAAGTCTTTTAGGCCCATAAATGCTCAATAAACGTGAATCATTTTCTCCTCCAACATCCACCTTCCTTTCTGACTACTGTCTCCCAATGCATCTAATAGCAACACCCCCTGTCCCCTCCCTCCACCAATACCTTGGTATCCCAACCTACATACATAATACTTTTTCTTAAAGAGGTTCCAAGGCCTATATAAAGAATCTACATCAATGTTAATTGCAAACTTGGTTATCACTGATACTGTGCTCAAAGCAACCAATTCTGACTATCTTCTTTTTGTTTATCTCTATTAGCCTCTAATAATATGGTGATCTATTCAATCTAGACTAAGAAATAGAATATTACCTACTAAATATCTATTCTGCCCTTCATCCCTGATAATGAAACTGTGACTCTGGAGGCTGCCATGTTTCCAGCCAAAGGCAGGATACTTACTTCCTCAATCTTCTTTGCAACTAAACGCAGCCATGTGAAAGGGTTCAGACCAATGGGATATAAGCAGAAAATCCCTGGGTACCTTTATTTTCCCTGATTAAAGGTAAAGATGCAATTGGTCCTCTTCCTTCCTGCCCTGAACACAGACATGATGTCTGGAGCTACAGTAGACACCTGGCAAACATGAATTAACAACCTCCTGGGTAAAAGGCAACAGCCTAAAGATGCCAGAGCAGAAAGGCAGAAACTGTCTGGGTCCTACACTGCTTACAGCAGTCCTGGATCACCTGCTGCTGATCTTAAGTGGGAAGGGAAGAGAGGCATATTTGCCTAAGACCCTAAAGTTCAGTTTCTGTTGCTTAATACTTTACTGATAAATTAAGCTTTAAAATCCATAAAGAATAACATTGGCTAGGTGACATTAACTTTTCAGAAAAGAATCTGCCTCATATTAAAATGTCTTCACTGTATTTCACAAAAGCCCCTTTTATAGATTAACAAATTCCTCTTTTAAAAGACAAACCTAAGCTAAGCACCATTGGCTCACACCTGCAATCCTAGCTACACAGGAGGCAGAGATTAGGAGAATCGTGGTTCAAAGCCAGCCCTAGTCAAATAGTTGATGAGACCCTATCTCAAAAATACCCAACTCAAAAAGGGGATAGCAGAGCAGCTCAAGTGGCCCTGCCTAGCAAGTGCAGGGCCCTGACTGAGGTCAAGCCCAAGTACCACAAAAAAAAAAAAAAAGATAAGCTTAAATAGCCTCTGAAAAGTTGTCTATAAATTTTGTTTTAATAAAAGGAATTTTTAATTAATTTAATTTTCTTTAATATTTATCTACAATCCAGGGCAAAAAAAAAATGAAAATACCAATGACATAGCTATGACTTTTACTAGTTACCAGGATTAAAAAACATATAAGATACTACTTTTTCACAATCCACCTAGCAAAAGCAGCCAATCACTGTTTTTACAAATGCGCTCTAAACAGATCCCATTAACAGTTGTTTAAAATTAATGTATACATTAACATATCCAATGGGAGGTGAAAATAGAAAGGATAATTTAACTTTTTATTTAAACATTTATGTGTTAGATATCACTTTTTGCCACTCCTCCAGCATTTTGTGCTGTATATTTTGAGACAGGGTCTTCAGAACTATTTGCCTGAGGCTGGCTTCCAACCTTCATCCACCTGATCTCTTCTTCCTAACTAGCTAGGATTAGGTATCATTTTTGTTAATTTTATTGTAATATAAAAGACAGTTTTCAAAAAACTCAAATACACAGCTTAATAAATTTCCAAACTTGATCATCCTTGTACTCATCATCCAGAAAGAAAACTTTGCCACCCAGCCCAGAAAGCTCATTCATGTGCCTTATCCCATCCAATCCTTTTCTCACTCTGAAGTAAGCATTGTCCTGACTTTCACAGAATGATTGCCTTCTATTTTCACCAATCAAATGTGGGTCCCAAGACACTATAGTTATCCTCATCATTTTTTAAAATTTAATGTCTTTTAATTGCATAGGGGTCTTCTTTTTTTTTTAATTTTTTTTTTTTCTTTTTTGCAGTACTGGGGTTTGAACTTAGGGCCTATACTTTGAGCCACTGTACCAGCCCTTTTTTCCTGAAGGGTTTTTTCAAAATAAGTCTCAAGAACTTTTTGTCCAGACTGGCTTCAAACCTCAATCCTCCTGATCTCTGCCTCCTGGGTAGCCAGGATTACAGATGTGAGCCACCAGTGCCTGGCCAGGGTCTCCTTTGCCCCTCACTTTTTGTTACAATCTTTGTTGGAGATCTCTGCCATTTGATCAATACAGCATCCCTCAATCTGGATGTTGTGTTTGCTTATTGCTGATGCAATTCAACCTATTCATCTATCTATCCTCTGTTATTCCTGCAAATCAGAAGTCAATCTAGACCGAGAATTATTCTTGAGTTCAATACCTTTGGGAAGATGACAGGTAGTAGTAACAAGACTCTAAGAAGCATGTGTCAGGTTTTCTGTTTCTGTAATGTTAGCAACTGTCAGTGTATTAATGCTGCCTGAGAATTACAAAATGATAGTCTATCATTTTATTTCATTTTAATTTAGTAATTGAAATAGTTTTAGGGGGAGAAATTTATTGCCAGGCATGGTGCCTCATGCCTGGAATCCCAGAGCTCGGGAGGATCAAAGTTCAAGATCAACCAGAGCAAAAAGTTATAGAGATCCCAAGACAACAAACAACAATAAAAACAAGCTGGGCATCGTGGCATGCACTTGTCATCCCAGCTACACAGGAGGCAAGCAGAACAATCAAGATTCAGACCAACCCAGGTAAAAAAATACAAGCCCCTACCTGAAAAAATAACCAAAATCAAAAAGGGCTAGAAGCATGGCTCAAGTAGCAGAGCACCTACCCACAAGCACAAGACCCTGAGTTCAAACCCTACTACTGAAAAAATCTTAAAATGGTGGGGAAGATTTCGCCTCATCTATTTGGTTTCCTGGTGGTACAGTTCAACATGTGAGCGATAAGGAGGAATAATATGAGGCCCATAATCAACAACTACCATCACTGCTTAAACAAAACACTTCTTACTTAGAAGTAATGTATAGGTTACAGGTCATGCTAATCTTTCAAGATCTTCCTCTAAATGTGGAGATTCCTTCTAAAGAATTTTCTTTTGATACTTAACTTTTCAACAAAAATTATTAGGTTTTATTCTTTGTACAACACATACACGCACTAAGAAAAGTCTTTCAACATCTACCCTTACTGATGGGTACATTTGAAAGAAACAGAAAACATTAAACATGTAATCCATTTTGAGAGGCTGGGAGAGAAGTTCTACATCTTGGTTAAATGTACTTCAAACATTATTAAGAAAATCTGACTAGTATTCAATTGTAACCATCATTTGTATGCTGTTACACTTACCATCGCTTAAAAACTTGATGAAAATACTCAGCAAGCCACACATACTTTGCCACATTGGAGAAGTGGAGGTCTTCCAAAGGTTTCCTTGGAAACCTTGTACCTTCTGTACTAACATCATTGAAACTCTAATGCCTACCAGCAAGTCATTCATCAACTGTGTTTGAACAATATGATTTCCAGCAAATTTTCTACAAAGAAAAGACATTATTACAAAACGAAATTCAAATACAAGTGTCACCATTTCTACCCCTCTCTAAAATCAACACGTTCTCCGAAAAGCCAAAATCAATTTTAGGTTACAGTAGACATTTATGGCACTCTCTTTTATTTGCATAAACAATCAAAATTATGTAGACACTTAACGTAAACTTCGAATACTCTTACTTCAAAAGGTCTTTCTCACCCAATGACTTATCTTACTTTCTACTTTAGGGCAAAAATAAGGAATCAAGGAAAGAAAGAAAAGAGAGTGAGGGGAGAAAAGGAGGGAGGAAGGAAAGGGGAGAAAGGGAGGGAGGAGGAGGAAGGGAGGGAGGCAGAGAAAAGGAGGGAGGGAGGAGAAGGAAAAGGGACAGGAGGAAGAGAAGAGAAATCTAGAATGAATGAGGCAATTTACAAACACTCCCTCAACTTTTATGTACTTTTTTCACCTGGCTTCCAATATGCCAGGCTCTACTACCTCACCATTGTTCCTTCTCAAACACTGTGACTAGTTTGTTCACTTCTCCCTGGTCTTCTTTTTTTCTTTTGCAGTGCTGGGGATGGAACCCAAGGCCTCACACATGCTATGCAGATGCTCTACATTTAGCTACGCCCCCAAGCCTTCCCTAATTTCTTTATGTTGTAGCTCTCTAGGAATCAGCCCTTAGTTCTTTTTTCCATCTAATTCTGTCCCTTGATGTTGATCCCATCCAGCCTCATAATCTTTAAACTATAATTTATGTGCTAACTATTCCCAGACTTTTATCTCTAATCCAAATACAATTCCAAACTTACATATCTAACATCCTAATCAATATATTCACTTGAATGCCTAACAGATAGCTCAAAATATATGATCTTAAACTCCAAATCTGCTCCCCCTACTGAATTTCTATCTATAAAAACTTTGTAATCATCTTTGCCTCCTGTCCTGTTCATCCCATCTGTAAGAAAATTCCGTTCTACCTTCACAATATATCTAGAATCAAACCATCTCCATGGCTACCACCTTTGCCTGCAATAGCCAATTGGTTTCCCAGCTTCTACCTTGGCCCTTCTCAATCTATTTTCAACATAGGAGAACACAGAGGGATTCTATTAAAACATAAGTACAGGAAAAACAGTTTGGGATCTCTTCAAAACATTAAACACAGAATTACCATATGATCCAACTATTCTACTCTTAGATATATACCCAAAAGAACTGAAAACAAGGACTCAAACACATACTTGCACACCAATGTTTGTAGCAGTATTATACCCAATCACCAAAAGATTAAAAAAAAAAGCAAATGTCCATCAACAGTTAATGAATAAACAAAATGTGACATATACATACAATGGAATATCCAACCATAAAAAGGGATTAAAATTCACTAGAATTTTATTTTATTTTAGCATTTATTAAGATGCTAGCACACAGATGGATCTCGAAAACATTGTAAGTGAAATAAGCATGACACAAAAGGACAAAAACACATTATATGATTCTATTTATATGACGTACCTAGAACAGACAAATTCAAAGAGACAAAAAGTAGAAAGAATTTATCAAGAGCCATGGAGAGAGATAAAAAGACAGCAAATTTTCTTTTGGACATACTGAATTTGAGGCACCTGTAAAATCTCCAAATTGATATGTAGGAATCAACAGTAGCTATAAGTCTACCAAGGGAGAAGAGCTCTAACCTGGAGTGATAATTCTGGGAATCCTAAATAAATATATAGGTCATGTCTGACACTAAAAGTGGATGATTCCAGAACAAATGGAATAGAAAGGACTGGACCCTAATTTATGAATAAACTGAGGAAGAAGAGTCTAAAAGGAGACAGAGAAACAGCTCCTGGAAAGGCAGGAGACCTCAAGTTAAAGATGACATACAAGTATTACTTCTACTCCCTCCCAGAACCTGCCTAAACTAACAGCCAGGGAATTTAAAACAAACAGACATAAATTCATAAGGGCAGAAAGAAAGCAACAAGATAACAATAATATTTTAGAAGCAGCAAAGCAGATGTATGACTGATGACTGACATAACAGAATAAGGAAAGATGAATACTAAGCCAGAGAACAGATCAGAAGCAACCTAATTTGTAAACCCAAAAGGTTCAGAAACTGTTAACACCAAGTACTCCCTGATGGATAGGTAAATGCAGGGCTAAAAACAGAAAGACTGGCTACAAATCTACTTAAGAAGAGTAAGAACTCTAAATCACACCCCTATGCCAGCAGATAACTGGTTTACCTTTAGAGAATGTAAAGCACAAATGTCACCCAGGCATGGTGGTACACACCTGTAATCCCAGCACTTGGGAGGGGAAGGCAGGAGAATCATGAGTTCGAGGCCAGCCTATGTAGAGTTAAGGCTCTTGTCTCAAAAAAAAAGCTAAAAACAAACAAGCAAATAGCAAATGTCTAGCAGGAAAACAACAAACACACACACACACACACACACACACACACACACACACACACACACAGCAACAATGTCACATTGCAAACAGGAGAATTAGGTGAATATATGTACAATGAACACCAAAAACCAAACCTCAGCTTTCTGTCCTCACTTAGCAACAAGAATATTAAGAATGATTTAGATGATTCTTCCATGCTAAATCCAAGCAAAAAGAACTAGGAATATTATATTTAATAGATTCTCCCCAAGAAATAGCACAGCTAAACTAGCCTGGGATCAAACCTGTGATAAACCCCATTCACATGCATAGAGATTCAAATCAATTCTCAGTACCTATTTTTAAATATAAAGGACCAATGACCACTAGTCATCCAAGGAAAGTTTCTAGCAGGAAATATGGTGAACAAATCCAGCAAACAGCAAAAAAGCAACTTAGAAAAAAGAGACCATGTAAAGCTAAGAAAACTTAATAAAAAACAAACAAAAAAACTACCATTAATATCCTCAAAGAGACAACAAAGAAAATGTTACCCATGAAATAAAAATAGGATGCTATAAAAAAGAAAAGTGAGAGAAAAAGTTCTTCTCATTTATTCTCCTAATAGCATTTAACCTTTAAAAATTTTAAATATCAAACTTCTAAAAAAAAATTTAAACAGTCAATTCTGTTATTAGTGGGTGGAGACTTTTCTGGAAATGAACAACTGCAAGTGTGCACACATACACACAAGTATGCACACATACGGCACTTGCCTGTTTTCTTCCAGGATTTCAATAAAACTCTTCTGCAGAAAATGAAGCACTAAAGCAAAAAAAAAAAAAAAATGACAAACCAGACTTAAAACTGTGAGCTTTAACTTCAGTATAATATTTTAAACCAGTTACCTAAAATGATATCATAATAGAAAAACAAAAGTTTTTCCGTTTATTTTTATGGAACTGGGGATTGAACCCAGGGCCTCGGACAAGCTAGGCAAGCACTCTAGCACTTGAACCACACCCCTAGAACTTTTATTTTTATTGTATTGGGGATAGGGACTCCCTAAGTTTTTGCTTGGGCTGGACTTGAATGTGTGATCCTCCTGCCTCCACCTCCCAGGTGTACACCACTATGCCAGGCTGAGAGGCAGAAATTTAAAAACAAGTATGATATACTTTAGTTATCTGTAGTACTCTACCTATTTCCAAGAAACTGAAAGGAGTCAATTCCAAAATGACATAACCTGTCACCCCTCAGAACATAATAAAATATTAGGACTTACCATTTTGAAGCAGATTATTAACACTCACTCTACCTATAGGGGAAAATATTAACACTAGTAAAGAGTTTCACCAAAATTAACACTTAAAAACAAAAATGCAATGGCAACTATTAGTCAGAAAAAGTATTAATAAAGTGCTAGCTTACCCAAGTTAAAATTCTCTGTACAGGAAGATATATTGTCAATTACTTTCCTATAAGAGTACAGATCAGTAGTATTCAATTCTTTGTGAAGACGAGAAGTAAAACTGTGTATAGCTTCAGTTAGAAAAAATTCAGGTAGGCCATTTAGTGAGCTAAAAAAAGAACCAAGTATTAAAAATCTGACATTTGTGTACCACCATGATACGTAGGGAAGGAGGAATATCATACAAATGTTGGGATGTAAACTTAACCTTCAAAATATAGCCATCTTGCTTCTGGTGTACCATTTCCATCTTGCTTCCTTTTCATAACTAGGCTATTCTCAACAGAGCAGCCAGAGTGATACCACTGAAATACCATGTCACTCCTCACTGTCCACGGGTATTGGTTCCAATCACACTAGTAATCCGGAAGTGCAAATTGTAACAAAATAAAATAGCATTTCTCACCTTTACATTTTAGAAAGTATATAAGATTGCTGCCCATGGTGGTACACACCTGTACCCCTAGCACCTGGGAGGCTAGGCGGGATGATCATGAGTTTGAGGCCAGCCTGGGCTATTTGGTAACAACCATTCTCAAAAACAAAAAAGAAAAAAGAAAGGGAGATGACAAAAATAAATAATATTAGAAATCAAAGGAAAAAAGTTTTAAAGATTGATACTATCCAGTGCTGAAAGGATGTGAAAAAACAGCACTCTCATTCACTGTTGGTAGAAAGTACAATTTAATAATACCTATAAAAATTTCATTAGGCATTACTTTTGGCCCAGAAATTCCACTTCTGGGAATTCTCTCAGGTAAATACACAAATATAACTATACACAATTAAGAACATAACTGCAGCATCACTGTAATAAGGAAAACTTGAAAACGATATCCATCAATGGGGATAAACCACCTACTATGTATCATGATACACATTTGGATATATTCATAATATGGAATATTTATTGTTCTTAGAATAAAGACTGTTGGTAGGATGTAAAACACTGTCTTACGGACAACACAACAGTTCCTTCAAAAATTAAAAACAGAATTACCATATAACCCAGCAATCCTGCTTCTGAGTATATACCCGTAAGAACTGAAAGCAGGGTCTCTAAGAGATATTTACGCATGCATTTCAAACCATTAATCAGAATAGCCAAGAGATACAAGCAACCAAATGTCCATCAATGGCTAAAGGACAGAATTTAGTATAAGCATACAAGAGAGTATCATCTGCCTTATAAATTTAGGGAGGACACTCTGCCATATGCTACAACCTGATGACACTGAGGACATTATGTTTAGTCAAATAAGTCACAAAAAGACAAGCATACATATTCTACTTAGATAAAGTATCTAAAATAACCAAATTCTTAGAAACAGAAAGTAGAATGGTGGTTGCAAGGCACTGGGGAAGGAAGAAACAGGGAGTTCTTTAATGAGTATAAAGTTTCAGTTTCACAAGATGGAAAAATTCTGTAGATCTACTGCACAACAATATGAATATACTTAATTTTTTAGTGGTAGTAGGTTTGAACTTAGAGCCTCTTGCTTGCTAGGCAGGCGCTCCACCATTTGAGCCATGCCCCTGGTCCTGTTTTGCTTTATAGTTATTTTTCAAATGAGGTTCTGCACTTTTTGCCCAGGGCTAGCCTCAGACTGTGATTCTCCTACAATGCCTCCTGCATAGGTGGGATTTACAGACATGCACCACCACATCCAGCTTGTTTGTTGAGATGGGGTCTTGCTAACTATTTGTGCAGGTTAGCCTTGAACTGCAATCCTCTCAATCTCCACCTCCCAAGTAACTGGGATTACAGTTGTGCACCACCATGCCTGTTCTCTAAGACATTCTTTACTGAACAAACAATCTACACAGCATTATGTAGAATATCATCCCACCTATTTAAAAAGAAAAAAACTAAAATACAATATATATATTCTCAACCTAAAGGGTCTAGAAAGACACACATCAAAATATGAAGTAACAAAACTTTACACTAAAGAAAATGAGGTAAGACAGAAATGGTGAAATATAAGCCTCACTTTTTACTTTCTATACTTCTACATGTTTGAAACTTTTACATCAAGCATATATTCCTATACTGTCTGTGTCAGGACAGACAGATGGGACAAACAGAGAAAGAAGTAACAAGCTGACAGATTTAGCATAAATGTAAATGGCCTGACTAGTGTCAGCAAACTATGGTCCACAGACCAAAGCCTGCTAGTTTCAAGGTCTGTCACCTAAGAAGGCTTTTACATATCTAAAGAGTGGAGGGGGGGGGGAAGAAAAGGAAGAGGGAGGGAGAAAAGGAGTGAAATTTTTAGTGATTTACTTCAATTCAGTTTTATTAACAGGGTATGCACTTTGATTACTTTTTGTAACACCCAATCTCCTTTTTCTTTTCCTTACCTTGCTAATACTTTCTTCAAGGGATTCTTCAGACTCAAAGAAAAATAAATGCCTGCTAAAATATCCAAACAACTTTGAACACTGGGATCACGAATTCCATTTTTATCTACTTTCTCCAGTAGAGGTACAATCTATAATCAAAAAAAAATTTTTTTTAAGTAATATTTTCTAATACCAAGTAAAGCAAAGTAACATGGTTACAAATATCTTTTGTTTGTTTGTTTGTTTATTTATTCACATGTGCATACATTGTTTGGGTCATTTCTCCACCCTGCCCCCCCACACACTTTCCCCCTTCCCCTCCTCAGCTTCAGGCAGGTCCCATTCTGCCCTTATCACTGATTTTGTTGAAGAAAGGACATATGCATAATAAGAAAGACAAAGTGTTTTTGCTAGGTGAGTTAAGGATAGCTATAGAAAAGATTCCTACTATTGCTTTTATGTACCCATGCGTTACAACCCAAGTTGATTCAACTCTAACTGATCTTTACCTTGGTTCCTGATCCCCTGCTCATGATAACCTGTCGTTTTAAGGTTTCTGTATTTGTTCCTTTGGAGTGGGGACATCAAACGCTTTCATGTTTTGGGTTTTCTTAAGTCTCAATTATACTATGAAATGCTTTCTACTCTGCACAATTAAAGGTACTGATTTCAAAATTCCTATTTCAGTATATTTATTAACTTTTTTAGCCCATAACTCTAATTCCTTTACCCTCCTGCCTAACTCCACTGAGACAGACTAATGATTAAGGTATAGAAAACCTGTGTCACTTCTAAAACTCCAGTGGTTTCCAAAGATACATTTTTATATAAAATATATATGTCTAGCTAAAATGGTACAACCAGGGCTGGGGACACGGCTCAAATGGTAGAGCACCTGCCTAGCAAGCGCAACACCAAGTTCAAATCCCACTACTACCAAAACAAAAAAAGATAAATCCATCAATAATAGTTCAGCTTTACCTGTTTAACATAATGGATTTGTGACACTCCATCCGTGAGTTGTACACAACGTAACAGCAAAGAAGCTAGATTTTTCCCTTCTATATCAGCAAAAGCTATGGAATATACACACACAAAAAAACAATGATTTAACAAAATACAAATATGAGTTTACCTTGCTATTCATTCTATAAAATTTTCTTAAGTTGTAAGCCAAAAAAACAAGTAGAACTTAGCCTGAAGACAGAAATTTAAGAAATCCATTTTAAATACAAAACTGAATGCAAAAAACATGGAAAAAAATTGAAAGAATATGAACCATATGTGCTATGAGGTCCCAAAGATTACACAGCTTGCAAACTAGAGAAGAAATACATTAAATAAGTGAATTCAGAAATCACCTACATCTCAAAGTTTCAAGGTCCTGATGACAAACGGTCAATGCAGCAACTTGCATTTCCCTCTTCTTCTTTACACCCATTTTAAACAGAACTAACAGTAGTCACTGCAAGAAAAGAGAGTTTAAGACATTGTCTACTGAAGGGTTTCTCAACCTTAACACTACTGATATTTTGGACCAGGTTAATTCTTTGTTAAGGGTATTGTCCTTCAACTTGTAGGATGTTTGGAGCCTCTCTGGCCTCTACTCACTAAACACCAGGAGTACCCTCCCCCAAGTGTGACAACCAGAAAATGTCTCCCAACACTGTCAATTGTCCACTGAGGTGCAAAATTGCCCCAGGCTAAGAATCACTGATCTAAGGATTTCAGCTCTGAATAGGCTTTTTGAACCCAAAAAGAGTTTACTATTGTCTAAGGGTACTTTTACCTATTATGATCTTGTCTTTGCATTTTAAAACACAACAAGCCTTCATATTAATAAAAACAAAAAAGCAGTTTTTCCATAAATAAATTGAAACAAACTAACCTTAGCCACTTGACTTGTTAGACTGACAGATCAGAAGGTGCCACTGTTTCTTGATTTCTGCAAAGTATCTGATAAAGGAAACATACTATCATTATGAGTTTGCTTTTAGTTATAGCACACCACTGGGTTCATAATGGACTAAAGAACTCTATTCAAAGTCTAAAGATCCCATGCTATCTAAAAAGAAGTTGCTTAGGGAAATATGTTACTCTTTTCATGACACAGCTGGCATTTTTAACAGTGTTTATGATGCAAACATTACATTTAAAAAAAAGACATAAAACTGAGAGGACTTGGTAGATGATACAATCAGAAATAAACTGAACTAATGAACAAAATGAAATTTCCCACAATGAAATAGAAAATAAATGTAAAATGCCACATTAAATTACAACACACACAATGAGGTACAGAATGAGGAGCCAAAGGGAGGTGAAATATAACTTGAAACAGCTCAGTACATGAGCCAACAGTATAACAAAACTCTAAGAGCCACATCAGAAGTCAGGCCGTTCAAGGGAGCATGGTTTTGGGATCATCCACTCAAATGAAGTGGTGTGGGGCATTATGTACAGGAATGGAGCATACTTAAAGGAGCTACAACAAACAAGAAAAAAACAGATTTCTGAAGGGCCTGGAAAGTACCTCCAGAAAACAACAAAGTGTCAACCACAGGTGTCTGGCCTGGAGAAAAGTCAGCATCTGCGCCTTAAAACAGCCATGGGACTGTTTTGGAGAAAAAGAGAATACATTTCCTTTGTCTCACTAAAGGATTAGTAAACTAATGCACTTTGGAGGAGACAGATTCCAGAAAATGTCAAAGGAAGAACTCTGCAGTTCAACTAGGGAATGAGCTACCTTTAAACGCAGTTTCTCAGCATGGAACTATCCAAACAGAAGCTGACTGAACACTGACACAACCTAACTGGTTTGCCTTGCCTCTGAAGAGTTCATTCTCTTCAGTCATCAAAGCAATCTTTTAAAAATACTATTCAAACCTAATTATGCATTGCTTAAAATTTTTCCAAGGGCTTCCAGTTGCACTTAAAATAAAATCCAAACTTGATACTTTGGCATTCAAGACCCTAAACAATCTAGCTCTGGCTTCCTCTGCTTTTCATGTCAATCTGTTCTTTACCTCCATAAGAGCCTTGGCATTTCCTGATGCTCTTATTTCCACCTAAGGAGCTTCCCACTTCCTGATATATCTATTGTCCACTCCTTATTCAGGTTTCTGCTCAAATACCACCACCTAAGAGAAGCTTTCTGTGACCACTTTACTTAAACGTGGTCATTAAATGCCTGCAACGACAGACATTTCCATTACTTTATTTTCTTCACAGCCCTTATTACTAAGATTACATTAACTCATACACCTGTATATTGTCTCTCCCTGCCACCAGCAGTAAACTCCAGGAAAAGCAGCAACTTTAATGATTTTGTTCAGTGTTTTAATTCTCAATTCCTTAAACGGTGGCTGGCATACGTCACAGGTGCTTAATAACTATTTTGAAGATAAATAACAAATATTTGCCTGCGATGTTCTAGAAGGGATATTAACCTTCAATGGCAGAAAGGTGAACTACCTGCTAGCTCAAGTGAATTCTATAGTTAAGTGACAAGCTGGTCCTGCTGACACTAAAGAACTTATGGTCCATTTGAGAAGTATGAAATCAAGACAGTAAAGGAAGATGAGCAAACACTTAATCAAAATTGGTAACAAAATGGGGCACTGCTAAGGCTGGAGGTGTGGTTCAAGTAACAGAGCACCTGCCTAGCAAGTAGGCACTGAGTTCAAATCCTAGTCCCACCAAAAAGAATTTTTTTTAAAGATGGACACTGCTTGAAAGTCATTGACAAGAGAGAATTTGAAGTGGTATGATTAGATTCAGAGAACTGAGGCTCCCTTCATAGGGAAGCGGCCAGCTGTCCAAAGTGAGAAATGACAGAAGGTAACAGAGGAATCACTTCTCTGGTGAATGTTCATCAGGACTTGACCGTGGAACCCCTTGAACTACACAAAAATAGACTTGGGATTATGCGTGCTCAGTGGATGCCTACACATATGTCCTGAGGAACTGGGCCTTCCAATAGGGAAAATCCCCTGTCCACTACACCACCCTGCTTTAAGAGGCAGGAAGGTGCTCAGCAAATTCTACTTGTGGGTCCCCCTTACTGCTTCCCTCCCATCCACCCCTTTTCGGGTGACTGCCTCCCACAGACATTCTCTGGGCTACTTCGAGGCACGTGGAATCCGAGGAATGACAGGTGAAAAAAAAGTAGTGCAAGGGCTGTCTCCATGGAGACCTACGCGACCGGAAATGAGCTTCACAGCCGCCCTATACAGGCGATACTCAAAGACTGGAACTTGTCTCCAGGCGGCCCTTAGCAAACTGGCTCAGCCGAACGCTGGAGAGTCCCGCGCTACCGCGAGTCTGGCAGGCCAAATGCCTGGGAGCCAAACCTCGAGCCCGTGGGCGTCTGAGCCAAGTGGCAGCTTCTCGACGAGTCCCGGAACCTGTTCTAATCTACGGCGCCTCAGCGGGTCGCAACGTGGTCGGCGGTCGCGGTGCAGAAAGGCAGAGCCCGAGACCTGGAAGAGGAATCATCGCGAGAATTGCCCGAATGTAGCTCCTCCAATCAGAATTGAGAGAGGCTGTGACGTCTCACGGGAAGTTGTAGCCAGAGAAATTGGTTCGGCCTCCGCTTTGCGGTCTTCGCGGTTCGCGAGTTACCCGGTTCCTTCGAGCCATCTGCTGGGAACCGCGCCGCCTCTCACCCTCTTCTGGGCGGCCTAGGCTGCGGCCTCCACACCCCCGAAGCCTCGGAAGCCCCTCTGTCCCAATGCGTGCTTTCTACCCTTTTCCCACTCCTTTTATCCACGCGGAGACGGGCTGAAAACTACCTTCGGGCCGCTGGAATGAGGAGTCTAGCGACCTAAGAGGTTGCGAGATGGAGGGGTTGGGGCAGGGAGTGAACCGAACCCACGAGAAGAATTTGGGCTCAAATAAAAAGTGCCGAATGAACTAATGTGTGCGTATATTCACTCAGCTACGAATTAAGGAGCCGTAGGATCAAAGTCATGGCAGTGATACAAATTGTCATGTGATTCAGTTCTCTAAAAATGAACAAAATAACCGAGTGAATAACGCTACTTTAGGAGCTGGGTCAGGGAGCAAGATCAGAAAATAGACACCATGCTATTTTGAGGAGCGTTAACTGGGAGAATGGAGAATAACTTTTGTAGGCGCCTACACCTTTAATGAGGTTGATGACTTTAAGACTTTAATCATTACTTGTCTGAGTTTTATGTCACCTTACTTTATTTTTCTTTGTAGTTCACATATGTGTGTATTATTAAACAATATCTTGATCGGTATTTGAGTTTTATTTGTGGAATTGCGTTGGATTCTCAAGCGATTTGCATTTTTCAGCGTTGTATTTGGAATTTGCCCACATAAAATCAAATGGCTATGGTTTTTTCATTCACCGTTGCATTGTAACATGGTATTCCATTGCATTTATGTATCCATTCTAGTTCCTCTGGACATTAGGATTATTTCCGGTTTTTGCTCCAACAATGCTGCCATGAACTATTTCATGCTTGTCAACAGTGTGTGAATTTTTCTCTCCCATAATTTTTTTCTGATATTTTTGTGACTGAGACTGATAGTAAGTATCTTTCTTGACTTTGGAACCAAGTACATTTAAGTACTCACAAACATAACTGAAACAAAAATTTCTTGAACTATTTATTATTCTGCAGAAGCGCTTAATTATGGTAAGATACATAGAGCAAAATATATCATTTTAAGTGTGTATGTGTTTAATATATATTGTTTCCAACCACTGAAATAATGACATAATTCTCAATGAATCCCAACCACTTGATCAAACCATTTGAAAGTAAGAAGCAGACATTGTGACTCCTCAGCCCATACACAATGAGAGGTAAACTAGGAGGCAAATATAGTAAAAGATAATAATTGTGCTGGCCTGTTGGCTCACTGCCAGGAGATGGGTGCAGACATAGGGAGGATGGCAATTTGAGATCAGCCAATGAGAGGGGGCAGAGGAGTTCCAAGACCCCATCTAAACCAATAGCTGGATGTGGTAGTGCGCTTGTCATCCCAGCCACAAGGGAAGCATAGGAGGAGGATCACGGTCCAGGCCAAAAACACAAGACCCTTTCCCCAAAATAACTATAGCAAAAAAGGCCAGGGGTTGAGGCTCAAGTGACAGAGCACCTGCCTAGCAAGCACCAGGCCCTGAATTCAACCTCCAGAACCACCAAAAAAAGGTAGAAAAAAAAATGGAACAGAAGATGAGGGTATTTTTAATAAAGTAGTCAAGTATACATCATTGAATAAAGATTTGCAAGACATGTAGACATGCAGGGAAGAGGAAAGTTTTTCCATACACAGGGAACAGCCAGAGTGCTAGGACAGGAACGTGCCTGTTGGGAGACTAGCAAGGAGGCCAGGATGGCCGATACCAAGTGAACAAGGCAGCAAGTAATAAGAAAGGAACCAAAAGGGTTCAGATTAAATTAGGCCCTCAGATTATTGAAAGGACTTTGATTTTCACTGTTTAGTGAAATAGGGAGTCACTTAGAGCAGAAAAGTAATAGGATCTCAAATGTAATAGACTTTCAAATGAATCGCTGGAAGTACTTTGGTGGGAAGAGAGCATAGCAGGTGCAGGAAAACTTACGAGGAGGCTATTCCTATAAATTAGGCAAAGTACTGATGGCTCAGAACAGGGCATTAGCAGCGGAGCACGTGAGAGATGGACAGACTGTGGATATAATTTGGAAGTAGAGCTAACAGAATTTTCTGAGGTTGAGAAAAGAGGAGTCAAAGATGATTCCAAGACTTCTGGCCTGAGCAACTAGAAGGATGAAGTTGCCATTCATGGGGTAGTAGGGGCAGAAGTCTACTTACAGTAGGTTTGAATGGGTTTGAAAAAGACATAGGAGAGGAACTGGCAAGATTGAGTACAGCTGGCCCGCTGTAGGCAGATTCTGCATCCATGGATTAACCAGCTACAGATTGAGAACATTCAGGGGGAAAAATCGAGTTTCTACTAACCATGTACAGACTTTTTTTTTTCTAGTCATTGTTCTCTATATACAGTATAACAACTATTTACATATTATTAGGCATTATAGGTAATCTAGAGATGAATCAAACTGCACAGGAGGATGTGCACAGGTGTCTGCAAACAGTATGCCATTTTTATATAAGGGACTTGAGGATCCTCACTCAGATCTCAGTATCCTCTTGAGAGGGAAGTGTCCTAAAACCAATGTCCCATGGATACCAAGGGACGACTGTAGCAGGAACTCCCTGTACTTATACACAAAGGGGCAGATAAGAGGAGAGGTAACTCCTGGGGAAGTAGGGACAAGAGAAGGCTTGGTTTTAAAGGTTGAAATAGTAACACATTTGGAGAAATTTTCCTTTTGTTTTTGCTAGGCACCTGGTAGCACTTCCACCTTGAAACTGCTTTAAATTCTCTGCTTGAGATTTTTTCAGAACACAGTAGCATGAATTTGAACCACAAACTTTTTGTTTCTTTCTTTCTTTCTTGGTAGCACCAGGATTTGAACTCAAGGCCTTGTACTTACTAAGCAGGCACTTGACAACCAAGTAATTATTTCTATTCCAAGGGAATTCTAAAGATTTTAATCCTTAGTATATTAAAGTATAAATAAAAACACACTTAAAGAGACATAGTAAAAGTGGAGTAAATAAAAATCATGAAAAATATTCTATATATCCACATTTTTTAGCTTTGCAAATAGGCATTGTTAATAATTTCCCTTCAGTTAGAGAAGGGAATTTTATAATTACTTAATGACATGTCTTCACATATAATTTAATACTTTTTTACATTTATGAGGACATTTGTATAATGAATATTCAGCCTTTTAAGACCACATTCATTGATCACACATAAAAGTTTCTATATCAACCAAAACTTTAGAAGAAGTAAAACTGACCAGTAAAAGGTAAGGTTCTCTTACAAATATTGTTTCCCATACAGAAAGAATAATAAAGTCTTCCAGTTTCATAGTTACCATTCCATTCCCCAAAATTATAATTTACAGTAATCTGTCAGTAATGCATGGTGATTTATATAATTAAATACTCCCCATAAAGTCCTTTTAATAGTTTTATGTCTAAAATGAAGTCCAAAGGCATATACTATAGCTATGAATATTTTATAATTTGTTAATAGAAGATGGTATTTTGTTTTATTTATTAATATAAATTTGTCCTGAAGTCAGTGAAAGCAAAGAACTTCTATTATTTGTTGATTCATCTCTCTGGCTTAAAACACAGCATTCAATTATCTCTCAGTTTTTGTGAGTCAGAAATTCAGGAGCAACATGGCTAGGTGCTTTTGGCTAAGGGTCTCTCAGTGAAGATGTTGGCTTCAGTCACCTGAGGCTTGGATGGGGCAGAAGGATCTGCTTTAAAGATGACTTACTCATTAGTGCTAGTTCCAGGCAGGAGGTCTAGTTCTTCCCTACATGGGCCTCTCCCTAGGTTACTTAAGCAACCTTACTTAAGATTACTTACTTAAGAGGGTGGCGGGCCTTCCCCTGAATTAGCAAGAGACAGGTTGAAGCTTCAATGACTTTTACACACATCGTTTTGACCATTGGGTATAAATGCCTACACGGAGGCATCAATACCAGGAGGCCAGTATCAGTGAAGGCCTATTTTGGAGGCTGGCCATTACTTTTTGCCCAGGCTGGCTTTGAACCTCGATCCTCCTGATCTCTACCTCCTGAGTGGTTAGGATTACAGGCGTGAGCCACCGGCATCCAGCCCATTATACTTATATTTTTGTCTTAGAGCGTTGTCACTTTTTTTAAGTACATAATATTTATGAATGTTCATCTGGCCTCCTGCTAATTTATAAACTTTTCCAAGACATATATCATCTTTAGATACCTAGTGACTTGTGCACTGCCCAGCATAAGTAGTTTGGCAAATGACTATAGAGTTAGGATGAAAGGGCCAGCAAGTTCCTTCCGGTGTTAGTGTGCAATGGTGCTTTTTTTACCACTATGTGGCAGCAAACTACAGAATTATTGCTACCTTTTAGTAAGGAGTTAAGCCAGCATGAGTATTCACCGACTGCAGACAATGTTTTTACTTGCATTGAAGTTACAAAGGACCCTCACTGTCTAGGCATTGTTTGAATAATAGCATATTTTATGTGAAGTATAACATACATAAAAAATACTTATAAAAATTTTCTCTTAACTTCCTGCCCAAAAATATGTTATAATAACTTATCAACTCAATTTAAATAATATATGTATTATGAAATATATCAAGTAGAAATTTATGAAAATTGCTCAGTATTATGTTTTTTATTCACTCATATTACTGCTTATGCTTTTTTGTTTTGTTTTTGGTGGGACTGGGGTTTGAATTCAGAGCTTTGTGCTTGCAAAGCAGGTGCTCTACCTCTTTAGCCACACCTCCAGTCCATTTTGCTCTGGTTATTTTTGGAGATGGGGAGTCTCATGAACTATTTGCCCAGGCTGGCC